TAAATTCATTGTGTCTGTGTACTTTAATATGAAAATATATCCAATCATGTTTGTTTACAATTCATTTCCTGTATAAAGGTACTTAATGTCGAATACGATAATAAATAAATAGATCATACAAACAATAGAAATATTAAATATCAAAAAAAAAATAATAAAATAATCAATTTCCATGCATTTCATGACAACCTGTTCTAAATAACGGTAATCAATCGATCATTTTAGTCTGCTTCCTACATGTCTAAAGTTTAGTTGAGCAAATTATTCTTTATAAGAAATTATTCAGTGCTTAACGTAAATGTCTGCATTCTACCCACATAATCTAGGTTTATTATGATTTAGACATTCTAAAAATAACTGATTTTGAAACTGATCGATTAGTGTAAAATATTTATTTTTATTGAATTGAGTTTTATCTAGAAAGCCACTGAATGGAATAATCAATTTATTAGGTGAATGAAAGGATCAATGCCTCAGTGTTAGATAATTATAGTCATGGCTCTATCCTTTAAGTCATGTTGGTATCTCTGTTATTCCCTGTGTTTGAAAAGCAGACTTCATTTTAAAGGTTGTCCAGTATATTAGACTTGAGATATTGAACATATTGTCTTTAATATACATGTAAATACAAGAGGTTGCTAAATTAAAATCATGGGTAACTATATAACAAAACGAGTACAGAACAAACTGTACGATAGATAGACAATCCCACAGCAGATACAAAATAAGACCAGAGAAACAAAATGAAAGAATTAAGTTTACAAAAACTTCTGCGGTACCAGGCGGATATGAGGGCCACCTACACAACATTGTCCTTGTGTTAATAAACAAAATTCAAAAACAATAGGTCAACTTCAATGCACTTTATTACACGCTGTGATGTAGAGTAAATATGATTCAAGAATAGAAAGATTTGAAATGTTATGCAGTAGCTGTAAATATCTTGCATCTTTATATTAGAGATAAAAGATTCTGTGCTTGTGAAAACAATGCATTATTTTTCACCTACAACATACATGTACTTTCTCGTTAATCTATGTAACAATCCTACATTTTCCAGACATTATTTTATTTTTCATGGCTTAATATTCACTCAGTATAGGCAAAGTAATCAGTTGCCATGCCACACTCATTCCCATAACTGCCTTGATTTTACGTAATTTCCAATAACTGGTCAATATACTAATTGTATTATAAATGCATAATTTAGTAATCATTGTTTTGTTGTGGTACATAATTCAGACTAAAATATACCAACTAAAACATAGCCTGTAGCTCAGATTCAATAATTTATTCATGTATGATTTAAATTTTTTTCCATTGCAAAATGTATTTGGTTTAGTGACCTATCCAGTAAGTGCTTTATATTGTATTTCTAGAAAAAATAATTGAAATGCCAGGAATTGAGGGAATACTATTATTATATCCCAATATGACTTTATATTATCCGGTACGCTGTATTGCTTAATGTATCCTTGGCATTTTAGCCAAGTGATCAATCATTGAGTTGCTTGTGTGTTCTTGTGTGTGTTCTCAATAGAAATAACTTCAGGTTTTTAAGATATATGAGTAGCTTTTATTGTCACACTGTGTTCAACCTTTCTATCTATATAAATTATTTATATAGTTTAGACACAATGAGTGATTTAAAAACCTTTTGTCTGTTTTAAAAGACATTTTTCTGTAATTTTCTGCCTGTTGCAAAATCGAAAGAATCCACACTGGTGCAGCCAGGGGGGGGAAAGGGTCAGTAACCTGTAGGAACCGCACCAATGTACCTTGACTTTGTTGTTACCGCTTAATACAGTAACCGCTAGGAACTGAGCCAGTGTTTCTTGAGTTTGTTGGTAGGACTTGCTACAGAAACCTCAAGGAACTGAGGCAATGTTCCTTGAGTTTGTTGGTAGGACTTGATACAGTAACCTCTAGGAACTGGGCCAATGTTTCTTGAGTTTATTAGTAGGACTTGCTACAGTAACCACTAGTAACTAAGTCCAGGTTCCTTGAGTTTGTTGATAGGACTTGGATACAGTAACCTCTAGAAAAACGAGCGAATGTAGTTTGTTCTTACAACTTGATATAGTAACCTCAAGATTTCTCCACTTAAAGCTGCATAGATTGATCTGAACAGAATCTTAATCAATGCAAATTTGAGTGATCTGATGTATTATTATAATTATTGGATTAATAGAAGTCCAAAGTAAAAACACCAGTGGTTGTATTGACTATTGTTTTAATATGTTTGTTACCATTGCTTTAGATGTAGGGCATAATTCACGAAAACATGACCTAAAATATTTTAAGGAGGCAGCTATTTCATTGGTTGAGATGTAAAATCCTAGTACAGATTGTACCTATTGGCCAATGAATGAGCTGAATTCTAAAATATTTTAGTTTGTTTTTGTGGATAAGACCCCTGGTATTTAGTAGAAATAGATAGCTCAATAACTATGTATTCTGATATCAAGTCTATCTTTAACTCAATGTGCTAATTTCAGCCATTTTCTCCCTAGGTACATATTATCATGACAAACTTAATCAAATCATTAATGATTGTCTGATAATAATGGCCATATTTAGTCCCAATAAACACAACTGATAAACAGATTAAATGAACCCGTCCTGGCACTAAATGTTTTGTCAACTTGGGTCATTCAATATTAACAGAGTGAAAAAAATATATAAACTGTGTATCAACTGTATCTAAGTGAATCCAAATTTACAATATCGCATAAAAATGGGGAATTTTTTTTTGTTTTAATAGCTTCCATTCTGAATCAATAAACTTACATAGATAAACCACAGCTTCACTATAAACCCCGATGTTGAAGTTCACTGACCAGTCCATTGACCAGTCATAAAATCACTAAACCTCATTGGTTTAGGTCATATTAGAGTGTAGAATTGGATTAATGTGATGTGTAATTTTGATAAGCGATCTACAAAGTATATTTGATTAGATTAAGTTTTATTCCTGTCTTAAAATTAAACAGAAGTCAGTTTGATTAACAAAAGTTTTGTTTCTGGCTTAAACTGTTGACAGTCAGCTATATCTAAACATTACATCTACCTGCGGATCTAAGATTTGAAATGTTTCCAGTTCACAGAGCAAATTAACGCATCAAAATTGCCCTCTGCAACTATGTAAAACTTCATAAATTCCCTGATTTCACGCTTACATAACGATACATATACTGGCACGTTTATCTATACAATTGTAAATTTTTAAATGTATTATGTAAGATTTAGATAAAGAGCTCCCTATAATACTCTAAAAATAAATAATGAAAAATGAATATATTGAAATTTCAGTCAAAGTTATGAATGTTTGAAAAATAGCATAGTCTTGATTGTCATTGCTATGATAATAAATGAAGTTTTGATTTTCCATTTTTTCGTTAACCGATTAAATGGCGCGAATGGTTTAATCCAATCAATATCTAAGCTATTTGATGATCTAGAGAGTTAATTATTGGCTTGTCATTTGAATAAATATCTAAATGAGAATTTAAATAACGAAGAATTGGCACTTACAAAATGCATTTTTAAGTAACCTCAGTCCATTATTTGATTGAATGAGTGACAGGATAATCGTGATCATAGCAGACTAAAATTTTGTACATATAAAAGTACCATGACCAAGATTATAAAACACATCCACATATTATTAATCCATTTAGTTCTGAAAATAATATCTCGGATGGATCTGTAAATTAATAACCTTTTTTGATTATCAATAATCCATAGGCATGATTATTTAATATGATCAGAATGCCTACCCCACTGCCACACAGTTTTTTCTGTCTGCACATGTAATTTGATAAATGTCTGATACAGGAAGTTAACGTCACTGCTAATTAATTAGTTTTTACGCTTCACACTTTAGTGTTTTCAGACTACCTAATGTTTTATTTGATTTTAGTGTTGTCATGTCTAGACATTAAACATGAAACAAGTTGGACAGAGTCATTTATTTAATTAAAGGGACCTATACATGAAACAAGGCACTGCAGATAATGGTTTATTACTGCAATCTCAGTGATCAATGTCACAATTATATGTGAACTGGATGGCGTCTCCGGCCAAATCTCACAGGTTTTCTACAGTTTCCACCCACTAGGGTTGCAATGTAGTCAGGCAGTCCAGAAATAGTGGTTACAATGTAGTCAGTCCTGAAATTATGACCTGTTCTAGTCTGTTTCAAAATCACAGCAAAAAGCAAAATTAGAATTAATGTTGAGTTAATTCATCCAAATGGTTACTAATTCATCCAAGTCTCAGCTCAGACTTGCATACCTAATTAGGATGGTAAACCCCATATCAATTCACATACGATTTAATTTCCCCAGCATCTTTCCAGCATGTCTGGGCATCGGTGAAAGGCAGTCAATTTGGGTATTTTTTCTTCTATTGAAATTGATTTAGTTAGGGCTACATATTTTATGAGCCTCAGATAAACATCGAAATTACCAATTTTTTTTTTTTATTTTTTTTTTTTACAGAATTGATGAAATACTCTGCAGTTGTGTTAGTTGACATTAAATTTTATTTGTCTATAGATAAATGCCATCTAATTGCAGTAGCCTACAAAGTTAAATGTTAAATTAAGGCGCAATTTTCTGACCTCTTTACATTCCGTCCTTGAGAAATTGATTATGTCTTAGAATAGATATCTTATATACTAAACTGAATTTGTCATTATCTGCTGAAAAGCAGAAAAGTTGTCAGTGTCACCAACACTTATGAAAAGGGATTCTGAACTTCAGTGGTGTCGTGTGTATGACCAGTGAACCATCCCAAATTATTTAAAGAAATATGCACCAAGAACTCAGTTTTGTAGCATCTTCACAAGGAATTATGGATAAACCAACTGATGGAAGTCACAGGTTGTAACGATAATATGCCTGCATAATAAAATATTTTTTGTTTTATTCAAATGCAGCAATAGTTTGCATTAAAAGTTAAATTCGGAAAACTTATTATAATTTTTTTTTTTTCAGTCATTGGAAAGTACAAGGCGTATGTTGCAGATGTGTGAGGAGGTAAACTTAATTTTTGTTTACATAAAATCAGTCTGGTTTAGAATTAATACACTAATTAGAAAGATTTTGTTTAGGCCATATCCCTTTAGACCACATCAATTTGATTTTCTGTTCTTACTTAGAAATCAAAAGTACTTGTTTGTACTGTTCAAAAGCTTTTAGTTCCAAATTTTTTAGGTTTTGAGATTTTTACCAAAACATCATTCATTTGATTCAAGTGACTATATAGCTAGGCAAGATAATCTCAAAAGTAGATTAACCCTAAACAAATTTCAAAAGAAACCTATGCAGTTGGGTTCAATCATGCTTATATTAGACAACATCATACTTAAAATGACGTAATTAACATAATTCAATATGGCGGTCTCCAGGACATTTCTGAGAGTGATATCTCGTATCCAGTGCGTTTCAGTGGTGGGACAATAAATAGATCTTTTTTTTTTTAAATCTTACAATACAAATTGGTTATAGAGGCGAAATATTCAGAAAATAACAAATTTGACCAAAACAATTGTTAAAAAATGTATTTTTCAAATGGCTGTCAAATTTGGTAATAAAATGGCATTGTCCCCGTATATAACCATTCACTATCTTGTAAGATAGATTAGAAACTTCCTGAAGACCACCATATTGAATTATGCTAATTATGTCATTTGATGTTGTCTGACACGTATCATTGAACCAAACTGCAATTGGTTACTTTTGCAATTTGTTTTGGGTAAAATGTTATCCCTCCCCATCTAGTATATTATCAATACTCTGATGAACAGAAAATCAAATTTGTGTGGCCTTACTGATGAATAATAATCTTAACTTGATCAAGATAGAATTTTTTGTGAGGAATGACAACAAATTGAACAAACTATTTCCTGTTCTAGGTTTGTCATTATGATAGAAATAGAATTTTCCTTTCAAAAACTAACGCAAAGGTTTCATTTAGATTAAAATCATCTTGTTTTAACTCGCTGGTTTAAACAACGTGATAGTTTAGTTTTTATATATTGATTGTAAACAATGTTCTCTTGAAAGAGATTTCGTTGAAAATACAAATATTGAAAAGTATTTTGATGAGAAATGGACATGTCGTAGTATAATAATTAAGACTTCAACACTGATCAAAATTTTGATGTACTTGTTGGTTGGTAAAACAAATAATTTTTGATTTGACATGATTTGATTATACAGTTCCGTCGGGCATGTTTAAATATGATTGTGTCCCAATTTTGAAACAACACTACCATGCCATTGTCGAGATATACACGTTTTAGATTATTTACAAGTCAGTTTATGAATTTTTGTTGATTACTCAGGTCTTAAGGTTATTTTCAAAAGGATATTATTCAAAATTCTTTACATTAATTGTTTTAGTAAGGATGATAATAGATGATGACTCTTTTATGATGACCATAAAATGTTTTTCCAATTTGAAAATATTTCAATTATGTGTACATTCATTATTAAATATTGGTCTTTTCATATTATAAATTGTTTTAAAATAATGTTTCCATTAATTGCTTGCTCTCTATAGAGTAAAGAAGCAGGTATCAAGACATTGGTTATGTTGGATGAACAAGGAGGTAAGACACAGTAACAGCCAACATACAACAGACACTGTTTCGTATCACCTGCATGTATTGATTAATTTTAATTATCTTTTAGCTAATTTTTTGTTGAAATCCTGACATTTTTAACTTTTAATTTATTTCTAGGTTTTGTTTTGTTGTTTATTTGACCTGATGGTCACAAATGATCTAATCACAGATTATTGAATTAGTAAAATGTTCAAATATTGCTGTAGATTTTCTCAGCCAAACACAAAAAGCATTCTTTTTCAAAATTAAGTCTGTTGACAGCAATCGCTAACAACCCCAGTTTGCATTTTCCCAATCATAATATTAAGTCTATCTAGACGAATGGGGATCACGGTGGCTAAGTGGGTAAGGCGCTGGCTCGCTAGCCTGGAGGTCTGGTGTTCGATCCCTGCCTTGGCCGAGAAAGTTCATCCCGATTTTCCGGCGTGGTTCTCCCTTGTCAGTGATGCAGGACGGAGGGGCTGACAAGGACAGCTGTCTAGTCGTTCGGATGGGACGGAAAACCGAGGTCCCGTGTACTCATTGGCGTGCATGTAAAAGATCCCTTTACAGTTGGAATTCGATATAAGAGTAGGCCGTAGTGCCGCTGTCCGGGCAAAATTCCCCTCATAGCACACTGTATGGCGTATGCCCATCTTCATTAGCCCAGTTCGGAGCAAAACAGTAGGACGTTAAACCCCATTTCATTTCATTTCTATCTAGACGAATGAGATTTTAGGGTCATTCCATGTCAAGTGGACCAGTGCTTGTTAAGTGACATGCTCAGAATATTATATTGAAAAAATATATGTTATAGTTAAGTATTAGCCTTGAAAATCGTCTTGCACAGAAAACTAGCTAAAAACGAGTCATAGGATAGTAGTTTCAAAACTTGGAAAAGGGTACCATGATTTAAAAGGTCATATCTCAGTCAATATTAATGCTCGAGTCCTATAACTTTACAGTTTTACATAAATTTGTATGTACTATATAATTTTCTGAGGGGGGTCACCTGACAACTTTCTGAGAATTTGGTCCACTAGAGATGGTATGACCCTTTAGAATTTCTGGAAAATCTGACCTCCTCACCTTCCACAAGTACTTTTCTTTTTTTTTTTATAAATGTTTCATAAGTTTAAATAGATAAGAAGTCATATCAATGGTTTTAAAAGAATTAAGTATACCCTGTCACATGCACAACATCCATTACTACTCAAGGGGGGTTTGATGGCCGAATGGTGCGCGTTGTATCATAAGGTCTGTCATTGAGTCAACTGGCGTGGTTTCGATTCGCTGGTTGTATGTGAAAAGCAGTAGGGTCGCCTGTCAAACCTCGTAAGTTTTCTCTGGGTCCTCCGGTTTCCTCCCTCAACTAAGGACCCCTACATACAAACAAGCAAATTATTGTAATTAAAAATTGAACCATATGTTAGTCCCAAAATGACCTAGTTTGGGTTGAGTGGAGATTAAACCCCATATCTCTCTTTCTTCTCTTTCTCTCTTTCTCTCTCTCTCTCTCTCTCTCTCTCTCTCTATCATTACTACTCCATAGCAAAAATAGTAAGCCCCTACTTCGGCTGCATTCTGTTTGTGTACCTTTATCTGAAACATTGGAGCTAATTTTATTCTAGATATCCGGAGTCTTGGTCCATGCTTGTTTTTTAATTTAAATAAAACTTCAAGATATATTATCTAGAAGCCAGGCATAATAGAGCTAAAAGGATCTTCTGTAGCCCATGATTACACTTTCCTTTACATTACTGAAATTTACATGATAGTTTCGTAAAGAACTGATTTCAACGATACCATGTTTAGAAATGGCTGTTTTTGAATAACATCTAGGCTATTTATATCTCAGTGTAAAGCTGGGATAATTTTTTAAGCCAAATTCGGATTTAAATAGACATTTTATCCGTAATTTGTTATCGAGTAGCAATTTTCAAGACCACTACTATTCGTGTCAATAAAATTGAATGCAATCTATTGAGTTACAGTATCGTCTCCTAAAAATAGAAACATAATAGAAGAAAAAGTTAAAACCAAAAGCATTGTAATTGAACAGCAGTGGATATTGTGAAAGATAAATATAAAAATAGCACACTTCAGTGGCAGAAAATAAGAAGATAACTAAGGATATTCTTATTTTCGGCAAACAGTTAATTTTAAGGGATTTGGTTTAAAGGGGGGGGCAGCGGGAAATGATAGTTAACGTGTGCGCATTGCAGCATAAGGCTTGTCATGGAGTCAAAGTGTAGGATCGCCGGTCCAACTGTGTGTGTCCCACTGCTAAAGACGCAAATGCACAAGCGAATTATTGAAATGAAATTGAACCATAGGTTAGTCCTGAAATGACGTTATTTTGTGTCGAGGGAACATTAAACCCCATTTTCTCTCTCTCTCTGTTTTGTTTAAGTGAGCTAGGAGTGGTGAGGGATCTATATCATACACTGAACTCGTGGCTTTTCTTGTGTATCTCTAGCTGTATATACCAGACTACACATTAAACATCCCAGGACAATTAGAAATTGAATACCATTAGCACTGCTTTCCGGACAAAATTTCTGTCATGGATCACTCCATGGTGTATGTGTACATGTATTCTTCACTAGGATGGTTGGTGAAAAAAAGTAGTACCTTAAATTAAGCTCCATTACCTTCATTGATATCTCTAGTTTTTTCCCACTGCTTAAGATCACTGCGCACAATGAATTATTGAAATATAATTTGTTGATCCTGAAATTATCTAATTGAATGGACATTAAACCCCAATTTCTCTCTCTCTTATTTTCGTCACTATAACTTATATTTAAAAAATGTTGTGTGTTTGGTAAAGCAATATTTTAACATCTTACAAGTGGCACACGTCTGACTTTGTTAGAAACTTAATGTTAAACGTCTACAGAAATTGTACATCTGCTACTAATTATTAATGATGTCTGAAAGCGTTCAATTGGCACAGATCTCACAACTACTGAGCCTACCTCTATCTACATGTAAAGATTTCCAAATTAAATTTAAAAAGAATTTGTTGTAAAAAGCAAGTAGACTTTTAGATCAACAGTTTCTAAGAAAATCTGATTATTCTTCACACATTCTGATTTTTATCTTTTTTTTGGTTTTTATAGATTTATTTTATTCACTTAGCACATTTTCTGCTAATGATGATTTTTCTGGACTTGAAGTATTTTATTAATCAAATAACCGATAAGAAGAATGTCAAACTTGACATTTCGTGGGGAAATCTTTGGTCTACTATATTGACGTACAACATTATTAAGATAGGGTCTTTTGACACTATCTGAAATGTATTTGCCCATAAAAATGACTGCCTGTCGAAATCAGAGATTAAAAAGAGAGAAAAAAAAATGATTTAGCTGCATCCAATAAAACTGTTACTTGAACAGCACAGATACTTAATTGAAAATGAACAAGTGTAAGTAGTTGGAAGACTGCACAACAAAACATAGACAGAATAAACAAAGTGTTTAAAGTAGACCCAGGGATCGATATTGGTTATTTGTTTAAGAATACTTCAATTCATAATCTCCACCCTTTTCAATTTTTGGTTTAATTTATATTTAGTTTAGTTTTGTTTGAGTTTATTTAATGCACTATCTTTCAGAGTCAAGAAGTGGGAGTTAAAACTCTTGTTATGTTAGATGAGCAAGGGGGTAGGTACAAAACACAAACAAAACCCTCATCATCCATAATTATGTTTGAACTCACCATAAAATAGTAAAATACATTTTTGAAAATATTGATTTTCAATAATTATCTTGAGTCTAGATGTATTTACTAAGTAACTACTAATTTGAATGTATATGTTTGAATGAAGTGGATTAAATGTATGCCTCAGAATATTTAAATATTCCAAATTTTGTTCTGACACTTTCATTGAATAATAATAGTAATTGTAGCATGGACTGTAAATGTGTTCAAGAATTGTTTTTCTGTAAACTGTTAAAATAGAATCAATTGGTTTCCCCAAAATAACATTTCATGGAATATTGCATTCAGTGATTTAGATTTTATAACTTTACAATATTTCATTTCTTGTGACATTAGAAATATCATGCGCCAATCCCTCAAGGAAATTAAATTGTATAGTGTCTAAAATATTTTTAACTTTCCACTCAGAAACAGAACTACAGTGGTTTAAAAAAATCTTGATATTCTGTTATAATACATGTATACTTTAAAGATGGGTTCCCAGAAAAGTATTTATCCGGTGGTTATTTCCAATAAAAGTATGGTAATTTTGGTATATATATGGGAAGTAGAGATATCCAATCTTACTAGAAAAATACTGGATTCCCCGAAAAACACTCATGGAGCGTATACAGGACAAAAATGTAAGGGTTCCCCTAATCAACAGCCTGACGATTAGGAATTTCTGCACGCATGAGCGCGTGATGTACAAGTTGATAAACTTTATGAAGAGTTCGACGTACAGCACGCGGGTTGTGGATAATCCGAAAATTTAATTAGGATTCGATATTTGTAATAAATAGTAAGCGATTAAAGACAACATCGTCTTATGTATGCAATGAATTCTCCTCTGACTTCTAAGAGAGGCAAGTCACGTGATGTAAACATTTTTATAGTAGGACATTCCATCGCAATTACAATGTTTGAGAAGGATTTGAAGCAAAATTATGACAAATTAATTAGTTTCAATATGTTTTTAGTCCATATATACCATTAAATCACCCAGTTTGTACGCGGGAACCCATCTTTAATAGATATTTGTCGATAATTTGACTAACAACAATTTGACAGGCCAACTTTTGGGTATAATATAACACCTTGTCAAGAACAATGTGTTATTTCTTTCATGTTCTTCATTTAAAGTAATTATAGATGAATATCGACCGTAAGGCTTAATGCCCACTTCCACCGTTGGTGATATTTCAGACAAGAGGAATATTACTGTACATCACTGAATTTCGTGCTATTGTTGATAACATTTCTTCTTCATGCGTATTACAATTAATTAACTGTACTTGAAATTCTATTTAATATTCTCATTGCAAGGTAGATATAAGTAAAAAAAAAACAATTGTCAGATATATTAAAAGAGATAAAGTCATTTAGGGTAGGATATAAAAGTTAATCTGGGATTAATGTTTTCAAGTCTGATTGATCTTTTTTTAATCACCTCTCATTTATTTCTTCATCTATGTTTTGCACGTCATTATGTTGCATGATATTATTAACTCTTGTTGGTAGAAATTTTATATCTTTTAATATATAACATTTCACAGTCTTCAAAGACACACTAGTTTTTATCTGGCAGTATTATATTGGATGCTAGACTTGCCATATTGTATAAAATGATTATTACGAAGAAATTATCCTGATTACATGTTTATTTTTGGTATCTCTCCCAGCTCTGTATATGTTAAAAGAAAAAAAACCCCGATAATAATGACTTTATGCAGGAAATGGCAAAGATGAAATCTATTTTAAGAGAGTTTTGAGGACAATGATAGTAGGAGGCCGACTGGTTTCTATTATAACCATAGATCATTTATCAACAATCAGGTAGAATTATACACGGGTGTCTATATCAGTGTCGTTTACCCACGTCATAGACTCGATGTCATGTCAAGATCTTTTCCGTTTTCTTCATTTCACAGTATTATCGGGAGATTTTTGTGAGCTGATAATAATTCTATGAATGGTAAAAAGACTGACTACTTGGCTTCCAGTGTTAAACAAGATAAAAACTCAATCAAACAATTTAGTTCTACGCTTCATCACCAATAAACTACTGATTTGTCTAAATATTATGCCTGATCAAGAATGATCATGTCATTTCTAACTCGAACACCAATTCCAAAAATTTGGCAACTATTCAGAATTTGTGATAGAAAAGTTGAAAAATGTCGGAATTGTTTCATTTATATTCACTCACTAGAAAGGCCCAGGAATAAATTAGGGCATATTGTTATAAATTATTGTCTAAGTCGATTGAGACACTGCATGTCTTTGGTAATAAAAAATAGGGTTGTTTTTTGTTTAATGTTCTTACATTATGTAATTTACTGGTCTCCTATTGACTGTCTCAATAAAATAAGTTATATAATACTGATGTAAATGCACCCACTGGAGTGAAATAAATTTTGATGAATTTTGTTCTGTAACACAGTGAAGGATAAACCTTATTCCTGTTCATAAATATGTCAAACTCTTGAAGTTGGCCATTCATCATACACATTAATAACATATTCAGTGTAAATATTCGAGTTTTTAAAATCAATAAAGAAAGGTGATTGATTGATACTGAATTAAAGAAAAAGCCTGAAATAAACTGTAATGGTTGTCTTCCAGACTAATTGGTATTAAAGGTGATATTCCAAATAAATTCTTTAGTTGTTAGGGTTACACATTGGACTTAGACTTGGTTTAAAGATCATGCTATACAGCAGTTCATTATAACATGCCCCCAATCCGTAGACAACAACACCGAGGCGTATGAGGTTTATAAAATAATTTGGCAGTGGATATAGGACTGGGACCCGATTCAGTCTGGTTCTCATCCATACAAATCTCGGAAACCAGCGGCATGTTGTTGATTTTAGTTCCAGAAATATAAATATCAAACCAGAACCCTAACACTGAAGTACACAGAAGAATCCTGACTAACACATAGTCCTTACCTCAGATATCATATATATAGTCCTTACCTCAGATATCATATATATAATCGCTTCCAATAAAAAATTATGTTGAAAACTCAGCACCAGCTATCGATTGCATGGAACCAGCCATTTCTTCTCCCACTTTACAAATTATCCAATTCTAAATAATTATTTTTACAACTCTAATTACCATAACAGTTTATATTTTAATATATATTAATTATTTAAACACATAAATAATCACGATATTCTGTTGAGGTCAAAGAAAATGAACTTTTGATCACTTTTGTTGGAATATAATTTAACGAAATATTTTTGATTTGATTAGAACAATTGGACCGTATTGATGAGGGAATGGATCAAATTAATCAAGATATGAGGGATGCTGAGAAGAATTTAGAGGGTATGGAAAAATGCTGTGGTCTCTGTGTTCTGCCATGGAAACGGTAAATAATTAAAACAATATATAAAAGTTTTGAAATTTGTGTAGAAGAGCATTTTTGATACCCATTTTTCTCTCACATATAAATGTGACCAGAATCTTCGGACGTTTGCATTCCCCATCGCATTAATAGGTAAAAATCTTCATGTGGTACAGTAGATGGAGATTTGTGCTATTACAGCAGAAAATAGATAAATTTATTTATTATATATAGATGATTTTAACTTTATTTTCGCTATGTAAGTCATGGGTCTGATTATTAATATCATGCTTGTATTATATTATGTCAAGGAGTAAGGTCACCTAATCTTTCGTTATGGTTTCTCTCTGGATCCCCCCCCCCCCTCCGCCCACTGCTTAAGACCTGTGCACAATAAATGAATTATTGAAATAAAGGTATACATTATATTAGTCCCAAAATAACCTATTGATTGCTGAGTGGGTGTTAAAGGGGGCAAGTCTCTAACTCAATATCATCCACAATTTTCGACATTGCAAACACGACTTATTGGTCAATTCAAATCAACATTGATGTTGTTATCTTACTGTGAAAAGATGGGCTTCTGATATCCAATATTTAACTTTAAGACAAAATGAAAATTTAAAAATTGGCACATGAATAGCGTGCCAGAATGCTTTCGAGCACCATTTGTAATAAAGTGACTCGATGAATGAGCCTAAACAGGAGAATACTATTAGTGTAGACTGAATTAACCGGAAGCCAAAGACTGCCATTCAATTTCGTCGCACATAACCTGATCCAGAGTTACAGTAAAAACAGAAATGATTGGATGTAAATAAATTTATATACATTCATATTACATTATTATATGCATTGCGACCTATTTGTGTCCATTTGTAGGTGCCAAAGAATAGAGATTTAGCTCCTTTAAACCTTGTTTTTCTATTTCTATCTCTTTCCACACAGTGTGCTGAACATGTAGCCAGACTTATTATTTGTGACAAGCAATATTCTGTATTATTGGATATTTATATTTTGATCAGATTGGTTAGACACAAGCAATAACTTTTTCTGCACTTTACCAAACATGTAATTCATAATGAAAAAAAAAAGAAAAATGTGAACCATCTTTGCGTAGCTATGTAATTTGATCTTATTTATATATTGATATATTTGCGCTGTATGTGTACCATCGTGTTTTAAAGTTGATTCAATCCATAAAATAAGCCCAGATGATAAATTGATATCCGCTGTTTCATTCTTGAATTATTTCTAAAATTGTAAGATTTCATTACTTTAGGTGATCCTACAGATATTTTGATTGTATTAAGAGGCTGTGCTGTGAATTCACATCCTTATTCATTTCTTTTACCGAGTGTGGTTTTTAGCCCGAAAGGTATTTAAGAAGATGCCCATCCCCATCCTTATTCATTTCTTTTTCCGAGTGTGATTTTTAGCCTGAAAGGTGTTTTAAGAAGATGCCACCATCTTTCAGGACCTTGTATCCATAGAGATTATTTTTTCATTACTAAGGAATATATAAAAATTTTTTAACTACTAATATTTCAAGATACTAACCTCGGACTCACAGACATATCTTTTTCGATTTACATGTAAATCTGATTAATTTTGTTGTAAATATGGATTGTTTTGTATTTTGTTTGCACAGAGCCAAAAACTTTGAGAAGGGATCAGACTACAATAAGACATGGAAAGCTAATGAAGATGGAAAAGTTAACGCTAATGGTCCTAGAATAACTGTTGACAGTGGTAATGGTGCTGTTATGTCCAGTGGATTTATTACAAGGTGAGCATTAAAGGAGAAGTCCCAGAAATTTAACGTGTGCATGTTGGATCATATGCATATGGTCTGCTATTGAGTCAAGTTGCGTGGTTTTCAAATCCCCGTTTGTACGTGACAAGAGGTGGGTTTTCTTCGATTCCTGCAGTTTCTTCCCAAGCGCAAATGAGTTATTGAAATAAAATTAAACAATGTTAGTCCCGAAATGACATAGTTTATGTCGAGTAAATTAAAAACCCATTTCTCTCTCTATCCCAGTTTAGTGCATCTATCTAAATCTCTGTAACACTTATTTGAAGACGTACAAGGTTTCAATTTCCAGAATCCCCAATTTCACCCTCTGTAAGTTTCCAGATAACCATATATGTAAGCTATTTTCATAACTCCATATTTTGACATGAATTTTCAGTCAAGACACATGGGCCCTGTTGTCGTGTTTGATTTGCAGTGTCCTGTGAAATCTAAGACTGCCTCTTTTAATATATAATTTTCCCTTCCATACAGTTATTTGGTTGTTCTGCTGACATAAGAAAAATAATCCATAATTGAGTTTTAAGTGTTCTGTTAATCAGACTGTACTTATTATATGTCAGTCGAAATGGCTATTTGTTCCATAAATATTAAAATCAATGAAACACACATGTACAAACAAGAATTGAATCAGATCAATATTTTAAGATTGTATCTAGACGTAAAAATTTTAAGTTGATAAATACAGATTTCACGCAAAAAGAATTTGGCAACTGGAAAAAAAAAATTGGATCCGTGAGATCTATATAAGCCATTTCCTTTCTATGTGATTGGAGCCAGCAATTAAATTTCGAGGTATGAAAAAATAGATCGATGAGATCTACCGTTTGTTATTTTAATCAAAATATAGATGTACTGTAAGATTTTATATTTAATAAATGGTGAGATCTAAAACAATTGTAATCCTAAATAACGTTAATCTTACTATAATGATAAACAGAATAGGTTAAAGGTCCAATATACCAGAACAAACAGCAATTATAGACTTTCAGACTGATCTAAACATAAATTAATTTATATTGATTTCACGCTGCCATTTTTAATTTGTTGTAATCGACTGTCGCTGTCGGAATGGTAACTCCATTTCCATCCATTAGTATTGAGGTCAAAATGGTATCTTAACTTTCCAACCTCATGGGTTTTCTTCTGGTCCTCCGGTTTCCTCCCACTGCTAATGACCCATACGCGCAAGCGAATTATTGAAATATAATTGAACCATGTGTTAGTCCCGAAATGATCTAGTTTGTGTCGAGTTTGAACGTTAAGCCCCATTTCTCTCTCTCTCTCTCTCTCTCTCTCGGTATCTTAGCTTACATGATTTGTTTTAATAGTCCAAAATTAATTACTATCTAAAGAAGACTTATTTTAGCCATTTTTTGGTTGTATAGCAGGGTGAAAATTTAAGGCACCCGAAACAGACTTTGTCAGACACAAATTATCACATAACCTATATATTATAACAAAAAACATTGTATGACAGGTGCCTTATGTCTAGGGTTGATTGTATATATTATAAAGAAGGAAGTTCAGAAGTTGTGTATTTGCCTTCTGCTACATTGCATATCAGGGGGGTTGGATGGCCGAATGGTTAGCACGTGCGTCCTGTATCATAAGGCCTGTCATTGAGTCAACTGGCGTGGTTTCGAATCCCCGGTTGTACGTGACAAGGAGTAGGGTCGCCTGTCCAACCTCGTGGGTTTTCTCCGGGTCCCCCAGTTTCCTTCCAATGCTAAAGACCCCTACGTGCGAACGAATTATTGAAATAAAATTAAACCATATGTTAGTCCCAAAATGACCTAGTTTGCGTCAGTGGACGTTAAACCCCATTTCTCTCTCTCTCTCTCTCTTTCTCTCTCTCTCTCTCACATTGCTATCATTGGTTATAAGATAGAATAGAAGTAGAAGTATGTAAATACAGTTTTTGGGTTGTTAGAAAATTCCTAGTCTATTGATTTAATGAAAGGAATTATAAACAACAGGAGAGAGTATATAATTCTCTGTATGGTAATATCTTCGTTTCTGTTCTATGTCTATAGACAACCTGTTACTCATGCCCTGTACAAGTTTACCATTTCTATTGACTCACGGTTCTGTTTATTGTTTGGCTTTGACATGAGGCACCTCTGAGACTGTTTTACTTACATATTTATGCCAGGCTTCAGACCATTGATATATTGATACGTTTTGTTATGTGTGGGAGATTAATATGTAGATTATCATTAATGATATATATATGACATAGGTAATATAGTCAGTGTGGTAGTTAATCACTCTAGTCCTATTAGTTTGTATTATTTCACCTTCAGCTTTTATACATGTATTATCAATGTTTTATTATTCATCTGTTATAATGACCTTTAAGTCTATTCTACTTTATTAATGTCTGGTAGTGGTAAAGAGGAAGTATACAATATTTTACACTGTGATGGTCTTTGTATTTAATTATTAATTCATTTAAAGTGGCTTTATATGTTTTATGACCATTAGGGGGTATTGGGTGCCCAAATGGTCTAATCAAAGCCGTATATAGATAAAGTTGAGACAACTGTGAAGCCAGAAATTTCATATGACGTCATGAAAATATGACGTCAGGTGTACAAAGACGCCATCTTGGGTCCCAAGTAGACAGACATGGAAGGGGTCCAGTGAAGGGGACGCAGTTAGTTTTGAGTTTGTCCGACTTCTTTGGGTATTCGCGCCCCATTTCCAATGAAAAGAATGAAGTTGTTCTGATGCTCAACCAGTATCAAAGATATAGCGTGTCTGAAATTTGTTACAAATTGCCTCGAGTATGTTCCACACATCTCAACATTTATCGGCTTTTTGTTCAATCTATTAGAGCATACATTCCTACAAAATGTTTTGTTTAGTCAAGTGAAACAAGAAAATTCAAAGGCTAAAAGGAAAACCTACCTACGACTCTATAAAATAAGATATTTAGATATGATTCAACCGAAAGGTACATACATTTATTTTGGAGATTATCGCTGACCCTTTATTACTAAATTAATGTTTTGGGTTTTTTTCTTTTTATTAAGTGGTATTATCAAATTTGGCAGTCATTTAGAAAGAAATGCACACCCCCAAATGAAATGGTATTTGTCAAGATCGATTTTTCAGCACATTTTGCTTGCATAACCACTCTGTGTTTGAGGAATTTAAAAAGGAATCATGTATCCTTCCACCACTGAAAGACACCGATTACGAGATATCGCTCTCCGATAATTCCTGAAGAACGTCAAATTGTATTATGTTAATTATGTCACTTTGCCATAGCCGATTTTGAGTATGATCTTGTCTGACATATTTATCATTGAACCAAACTGCATTGATTTCTTTTGCAATTTGTTTAGTATAAATTGTAGCCCGTAAAACGTTATACAAAGAAAACAAAATAAAACGTTTTGTTAAGTAAAGCTATATGACGCCATGACGTCATAGTTTGTATGGCGTTATAGCTGGGACCCAAAATGGCGCCTGTAAATGAGTTGTCTTAACTTTACCTATACAGGGCTTTGGGTCTAATGTGTGCGCTTTAGATCATAAGGTCTGTCAGTGAGTCAACTGGCATGGCTTCGATTACCTTGTGTTTTGTTGTTAATAGACCAAAGGACCGACGGGGTGGTAGGATGATATTCTCACACTGAAATCTGGGCATTTGAAAATGAAATTAAAATCAACATCACTGTTTGGTGATAGAAGCTTTGTTTTTCATGGAATCTTCATGGAGTACTTTTAGTTGGCAGTCTGCTTCTTTACTGGTGACAAGGAGTAGGGTCGCCTGTCCAACCTTGTGGGTTTTCTCCAGGTCCTCCGGTTTCCTCCCACTGCTAAAGACCCCTACGCGCAAGCGAATTATTGAAATAAAATTAAAAACCACATGTTAGTCCCTAAATAACCTAGTTTGTGTCGAGTGGACGTTAAACCCCATTTCTCTCTCTCTCTCTCTCTCTCTCTCTCTCTCTCGCTTCTTTACTGGTTAATGTTTGCTTTCTTAAATGGTGATATCTCAGTCCGTCTGAAGGCACTTAACATTTTATAGATCAATCAAAATAAGTTTCATATCACTGTTTCATTCATTCCCAGTTGAGTTGCCAGGAATGGAATAATATCACTATATAGTACCATACTCTTACAGCTATTGTTGAATATAGTGTGTAATAAAAAGCAGTGTAATATTTGTATAGTAGCTTAATGGTTTACTATCAGGAAAGCCATTAAATACACGTTATTAGCATATTTTACACTGGTATCGTGTCTTTAAGTGGATAGTCGAAGGTTACTGGATAATCATGATGGTATAATATGTGATGGTTCTAATATAGATTAATAATTACTAGATTGTATTGTACACAGTAATTTCATGCACTTTACAAGGTCATATTCATTCCTGTTTTTCTGTTGACATCATGAAAACTTCTTTCAAAATCTATACAGTATATATAAATCATGCTGTGTGATATTGTCTCCTGTTTCTGTATTTCACAACCATGACTGACAAAATAAAAATAATTTAATCAGAAAAACAAATTATATGTACCATGAGGCTTTGTAACTAGATAGAAAAAGTAAATGGCAGGGTTTTTTTTTATTTAATTTTGTAGAGGAAAACTATGAAAAAATAAGTTGTTTTTCTGGCATTTTTAGAATGTTATTTCATATCTAGTTCAGTAGCTGTAGGCTAATAGAAATTATGCCATTTATTGAGAATAAGTGAAAAATTCACGATCCAATCAATATTTATATAACTGAGTATTCAGTTTTATTTTAAATAAATAAAGTGAAAGTAGGATGGGACATTGGGCAGATATCCTAGACAAAGTTTACAGAGACTTTTTGTAAATTTAACCTTATAGATTACTATCTGAAGAACAATTTTGAGTCAGGTTTTTATTTTGGTGATAATTTAAGATAAGGAAAATGTCTGTCAGCCTCTTGATGGTTTGAGGCTTTAATCCATCCAAAATATGTTTTAAGTAGTGGTTATTAGCACACTTTCCTCGGTGTATCGGTGAGGCGGCCCGCGACTAAAACTGTCCTGATCTTCCCAGATACACCGAGGAAAGGTGCCAATAACTCAGTTACATCACATTTCTATCGAGTATTGTGAAGCGAAATGTGAAAAATAGTATTTATTATGGAGTCGTGTCAAGCGAAATGTGACAAATACTTTCTGCTCTTTCATTTATCCCTTTCTGTGCCTCAAGTTACATTTTGTGGTAGAATGATTTCGCAGTGGAGAAACGACCTGAGTAGTATTTACACGTGGCTCTTGCTGCATTACCCTGGGAGTAAAACAGTCATGTGTTTTTTAGACTCCACTCCATATTGAAAGAATAAGTTGTTTTGACGTAGTCAGTGAACAAAGAGCCAACCACATCGTCAAAACAACTTGTCCCTGGTGTAGAGGACTGCAATGATATTAAACGTAATGTAAAGGACACTGTACAACGTGGGTCAATCCTGGTGAAGTGTGCATCGGCGGATATTTGTCCGTTGAAATTTATTTGTTATAAAATTTATGACTTTCTAGGCGTTTGTTTTCATCCTGCTTATTTTCAATGCTTGTATAAAAGTGTTTGTTTGTCGGAAATGAACAGTACTATTTCCGGAAAGCTGTTCATTTCTGATACACGGATACTTTTATGCCTTTATTGGAAATAAACAGGAAAGTTTTATCAAAGGTTGCCACTGACAACGAGGTAGAAGTGGGATGTAATGCCTTTTGTAAGCGGAATTAGGTATACTGATTGTCTGTTAATTTCTGTCTATTGCAAAGACTTCCAGTTAACATCAATTACAAGAATATTCACTTGAAGTTGACATGCTGGAGCCAAACTCATATACTGAAGATTGATTAGCTAACTGTAGAAATTTTAAAAAATTTTGTGCAAAATAAAATTGAGATCGGATTTAAATAGGTGTCACAGCTCCATTACTCGTGTTGAAGAAAGTTGTTTGTTTCCTCTACTGGTCACAATTTTTATCCGATGTTGACGAAATTTGAAATATATGTTTATACATCCCAAAGATCTCAGTTCCTTTCAATATTGGTATTTATCGGGCCGTAACTTCATGGATTATGACCCCAGATGGCTTTACCTTGTGGTCACTCTAGTAGTCACTCTAGTAGTCACAATTTTTATACGCCCACATTTTCATGTGGAGGTATATTGTCGTCGCCCCTGTCCGTCTGTCCACAATTGTTTGTGAACAGTCTACAGGTCACAATTTTTATCCGATTTCAATGAAACTTGAAATATAGGTTTATCACCCTAAGATCTCGGTTCCTTTCGATATTGGCATGTATCGGACTGTAACATCATGGATTATGGCCACTGATTGTACGAAAAATCACGTTTTTAGCTTGTGAACACTATAGAGGTCACAATTTTTATCCGATTTAGTTTAAACTTGAAATGTATGATTATAACCCAAAGATCTCGGTTTCTTTCGATATTCACGCATATCGGAACGTAACTTCCTGAATTATGGCCCCTGATTGTACCAAAAATCGCGTTTTTAGTTTGTGGACCCTATAGAGGTCATAATTTTTATCCGATTTAAAAAAACGTATTATTATATCACCGTTAAACCCTAAGAACGGCTGAGTTCGAATTTCGTGAAAATCTGCCCAAAACTAACAGACAAAATGGCCGCTGTTCGTTCTCAAATAGCGTAAAAAATATGGTATTTCAAGGTTGTGGACCTATAGAGGTCACAATTTTTATCTGATTTTGTTGAAACTTGAAATGTAAGTGGACTCTCTACATGTCACAATTCTTATCCAATTTTGACGAAACTTGAAATATAGGTTTATCCCCAAAAGATCTCAGCTGCTTTCGATATTGGCATGTATCTGATCAAAACTTCATGGATTATGGCCCCTGTTTGTACGAAAAATCACGTTTTTATCTTGTGGACCCTATAGAGGTCACAATTTTTATCCGATTTTGTTGAAACTTGAAATGTAAGTTTATAACCCAAAGATCTCGGTTCCTTTCGATATTCGCGCATATCGGACTGTAACTTCCTGCATTATGGCCCCTGATTGTACGAAAAATCGCGTGTTAGCTTGTGGACCCTATAGATGTCATAATTTTTATCCGATTCAAAAAAACCTATTATTATATCACCGTTACACCCTAAGGATGGCTGAGTTCGAATTTCGTGAAAATCGACCCAAAACTGACAGACAAAATGGCCGCCCCTCGTTCGCAAATAGCGTAAAAATTTGGTATTTCAAGGTTGTGGACCCTATAGAGGTCAAAATTTTTATCCGATTTTTTTGAAACTTGAAATATAAGTTTATAACCCAAAGATCTTAGTTCCTTTCGATATCCGCGCATATCAAACAGTAACTTCCTGAATTATGGCCCCTGATTGTACGAAAAATCACTTTCTTCTTAGCTTGTTCTCTATCCATCTCTCGAAAATGTGGGTGTATCCTGCCTGGCAGCCGCTGGTGATGAAATTTAAAATGTATGTTTATAACCCAAAGATCCGAGTTCCTTTCGATATTGATGCATATCGGACCGTAACCTCCTGGATTATGGCCCCTGATTGTTTGAAAAATCGCCTTTTTAGCTTGTTCTCTGTCCATCTCTTGCAAAATGTGGGCCTATATTGCATGGCAACCATTTGTTCAACTTAATGTCACACAGTGAGTGTGGTGCTGGCTCACTAACTACCCCTATGGTGGCAGAGAGAATTCCTCAGGAATTTCTAGCCGGGTTTCCCCAACAGTCGGGGGTGCAGATTGGAGGCCTGACGAAAAAAGGATCTAGTCATTTGGATTGGACTTATATCCAAGGCAGCAGGTATACTATTTGCAACATCTTAAATATCCAGTGACTGTTGGAAATTGAAATAACGGTTGGTCGTAGCTCTGGTGTAGGGGTAAAATTTCCCTCATGGCACACAGCATGGGCATATGCCCATCTTCATGTGCCAAGTTCATGCAAAAACAAACCCCCATTTAATTTCATTTCAGAGTGACAAATGATGCTAGAGAGACAGAAATGGAGGATAATTTAACTGAAGTGAGTGGTATGATAGGTAATCTAAGAAACATGGCCATTGATATGGGTAGTGAAATTGGTTCACAGAATCGACAGATTGACAGAATTAACCAGAAGGTAAAGAAATGTGACCATCAAATTTTAACTCTACAATTTAACACAAATAAATGTTTTCTCATTCAGCTATTTATGTACCGATACTACAAATTATGTTAAGCCATTTTGATTTTATAGGCCATGTTGACTTTTCTTTATAGAAGAGTTATTTCAAGTGGTTGAGAAAATCAATGGCCGACAAAAAAAGGATAAATTTATTTGAGTATGCTTAGAGAAAATTATCTCTAATATCTACTGTAATGTTTCTATCAGTAGTAATCAAGTCGGTTTGAAGAGGGTAATAAACTTGGTAGAAAATAACTATCCAATCAAATCTAAACCTTAAAATAAAACCCTCCATGCCACTCTTGCGGATGAAAATAGAATATGTGAAGACATAGATGATTTGTTAGTCTGCGTTTCTAATGATTGAGTCAAAACCATGTCGTTGAACTGATCAAGATCTATTTCTCTCCACAAGTGTCTGCTTTCAACGTCCATCTTTAAACAAGTTATAATATATTTCACCATATATAGATATATAACAAGTAATAAAAATATAAATGGACCACTCAGAATTACTAAATTAAAGCGACGCATGCTTATATATATATATGTAACAAATTTCTAAATTAATACCCATATTTAACTCATACTGTTATTAACTGTCTGTTATTGATCTAGAGGGGTTTTATTTTTAACTCAAATCTTTGGATAGGGCTGGACAGTTTTGACACGGGGGGCTTCATACTGTTAAGAATGAAGAACCAGGAGATTTAACTGTTTAGTAACTTAAGAGTATTGGGAATTACATATATACTCTTTACTCAGACTATAAAGATTTTTCATTTTAATCAACTGTCAACCTAATTTTGGGGGGAAATAAACATCTTTTCCATTTCCACTTTTGCTGATGGATTTACTAATTGCTAGATGCTTGCAATTTGAGCAATATAACAATGAAAGACTATAAAGCAAGGCAATTTTTATGTGTAATGTTTTTCATTTCAAAAACAATAAGCCACACCAATTTCAAAACCTGAATCTTAGTGAACAGCTAAAGCTCTTATAAACTGTACTTCCTGACACTTGCGTGGCTACTTATTTATCAAGATCTGGCTGGCCCGAGTTCACAAAGCAATCCCTGACATATCTTATATTAAGAATTTACTCAACTTTCAATCACTGTTTATGAGAAACACAAAACTTTAATTTCTTATTGATGTATTTGATAAATTAAAACAACAAAAGTTTTATAGAGGGCTATATTTTAGTTAAAATAAGGCGAACAATTTTGAGTAAATTCGTAACTTAAGTCTGAGAATGTTTTGTGAATTTGGGGCCTAAAGAATTAGATATGAAATTGGTTTGGCCTGATTATGATCTATATTGGGTTATAATTTTTTTCGTTGAAGGTTGTATGAATACTATAAGATATTAACAATAAATCAGGACACAAAAAATACTTGCTTTATAGTAGAATAATGATTAATCTTTTCCATCATCCTACCATTGCTTGCATCCTTATATAATAATGTAACAACCTACTAACCATGGCTTCTCTCCCCTTCCTTATCTTCCAGGCCACCTCGAACGAAGTCCGCATTTCAGAGGCTAATAAGAGGGCTACGAAAATCCTCAAATCCTAAGGCAGCTTGTTTCAAGATTGATCTAATAATGTGGTATCGGGAACACTTAACAATATTTGGACAAAAAAAAAACCAACCAGTTTTTTTCTTTGAAATCAGTTACACGTTATTTCTTTTTACAATTAGTCTTGAACTTTCAGTTTTATCTTCAGCATGACTTTTAACTGTTTTAATCTTGTTTTCTTTTATCTTCCCAAAATGAGAATATTTTTGGGGTTTTTTTTTGATACAGCAAAATTAATTCGATGCAGATTGGTTTTCAGTTTTGGTTTATTGAATGATTTAAAAAAATTTTGGGATTAGTCAAAAATAATTTGATTTGATCTGCATTATAAGCAAATTCACAATATTGATAAGCGCTTTCAGGTTGATATGATCAACGGTGACATGCATAATAATACTTAGTTAATTAATTAATTAATCTGCTTTTTTTAATTACTCATATTTCTAAGTACATTGTATATAGATCGTGGATGGTATAAATCATATATTTAACTGTAGATATAGAAGCGACATGAGGAGATATAATTTAATTCCATACTTTCTTATGGCTTTTAGATGGCTTTTATATCATTTTTACTCATTAATCAACATCATCAGGCTTGTTAATATAATCGTTACTATCAGATATTAACAAAACGCCCAAAACAAAATACTCTTAGGTCACAATAATATTTATTTATTTATTTTAAAATTTTCTTTCTTGCTTCTTATTTTTTTGCACATTTTTCATTTAGGTTTCACATCTATGTGCATGTTCTTTTTTTTTTGTTCATTTCTTTATCAGATGGTTTTTATTTGTAGATAATTTTAATTGATTTTGTTTTTTTCTCTCTCTTACTCTTTTTCTTCACCAATAAAAAAAGTCTGATTCTCTAATTGTGCGGGTGGATGAAGCTAACACTCGAGCTACAAGGATTATGCGTAAACAGTGAGACTGAGCCGGATTAGGAACAAGGAACTTTTTAATTTGTGAACAAGAGGATGTAAAATAATGAACCACAACTAACTGAATGAGTGAGAAGTTACAATAAAGACAGTGTTTTGAAAGTGTCTTAAACAATTCTGAGATAAGTATATAGAACTATCAATTAGATACCCAACAGAGATATAACTGTCTACTTTAAGACATAGAACAGAAATTGTCCATTAATTATAATAAGAGTATAAAGGGTGTAAGTTTATCCTTCATGTTGATTACTTGCATATATTTTATATGAATTGATTAGTGCTGATTTTGACGATTTCTTTAAATAAATATTATTAATCTTATATATATTCTATACTTGACGATTGTTTGTATTTTGTCAGTTGGTGACTGTGAAGGCTCCTCGAACAAGTATTACATTCCTCTTCATCCAAATAATAATATTTTATATTCCATGTTTGTAATTGTAATGATTATATTATGTCTGTAAATTTCTCATAACAAACTTCTTTCAAAATGTCTAGTTCTTTTCCAAATGAAGATTTAAGGAAAATATTTTACTTGGTAAAAACTGAATGGCATTAGTGAATGAACTTTTTAGACATTTTAGCTGACCATGAAACCGTTTTAAATTTTGTTGAGAATGATTATAATATACATTGTTTGTGCAGATACGAGAGCCCATAAAGCTCACTTTAAAATGGTTTGATGTATTTGTTCACGAAATGCCATTTATGATGTTTTTAAAACATGGTTTGTTAATGTTATGAGAGAAGAACGGTACACTGCTTTATTGTTTAATTGTGTTTTTAAAGTATAATAAATGTTATATCTATGTACGGTAATAATAGGTATATTTATATATGTTATGATAATTGAAATATTTCTTGACATTACCAGGGTCTGTAGAATATTATTACCCTTGGATCAACACTACCAGACATTTTGTCAGGAGTTCCATCGATATTCAGTGTTATATACATTAGTGTCATTGATCTCATGATCAGCAAAATTTGTCTACTGATATTGAGTGATTTCTTGAAGATCAAGTAATTTCCAATTCTTGAAAGTTCCAGAGGGCGTGTGTCTCTATTGCACTTTTGATTGGCCACATGCTATTGAACCAGACCTTCGATGCACTAGTTTTAGAACAATGAACTCAGCAGGAATTTCCAAGTCTGGTTCTCACTTGTAGGAGTTGACTATTCTGTCTAGTCATTCAAAAATATGAGGAACTGTTCCTGGAGGCATGTCACTTAATTGCACTTTTGATTGGCCCCATGTTATTGAATCCAGACCCTGGATGCAGTGGTTGCAAAGGACTCAACCAGTAAGGTCTGGTTCTCACTTATCAGAGGTCACAGATCTGTCTAGTCAGAAATATGAGGACCTGTAAACTTAAATTGTATTGCACATAAATAGGATTCCTTAATGTAGACCAGGATTAAACTCTGCTATCTTGAGGAAAATTCTCCCATTGGCATTGCACAGCTAATGATAGAAATAAAACAACTGCTGTGACCGTTCATCTCAATATTACCTAAATAAAATGTGTACGAGACATTAAGTGCCATTCCATTTGATGTCAAAAACCAGGTAATATGACAGTTAATTAGAATGAGGAGTAATGAGAATGATATGTTTTTAGAACTTGGTTATGGTCAAGATAATATAATGTATTATAATATATAATAAACTTGTTATAAAGAATGGTTTGTTGTAGAATTTCATGATAGGAATGAATCAAGATGGAACACTATTTCCAATACACAAAATCCCAGTGTAGATGAATCTGAATAGTAATGATGTGTTATATGAAACATGTAAACTGACTTGTCTATACATTTCAGGTCTGTATTAAGACTTTGATTATGATCAGGTAGCATTTATTAAACGTGAAGTATTCCTAGTGGGGTGGGGGGTGGGTGGGGGGGGAGTAGCAAATAGCTTGGAGTGAGGGAGGTAGTTTTGGTTTACTGCTTTGAAAATAAACTATTCCTATTCTGTCGGGATACAATACGCCTGACACTAAAAGTATTAGTATGGTTGATGTGTACTGTGTTGCATTTTTCATGGGGTGGGTTTTAAGGCAGGAGTAGCAAACTCAGGTATCACCCACACTCTAACAACATCACTAAAGAGGGAAGGGTGGTGGGGTTTCTTGCATAAAATAATGCAGTATTTGTAATAAGCGGGTTAGTTGAGACAAGAGCAGATTAAGGCATATCCCATATTTCAATAATGCATCAAAATTAATCAAATTCACACTTTCTAAACTAAAGTTGATAATACATAAATTGATATTAAGCTGTACTAAAATATTTTCTTGTAGACAATGATATAATAATAACCATTCTTTAATAATATTACCTATATACTGTAGTCATATCTTGTTCCTAACTGTAAACTACAAGGAAATATAAATGACATTAAGAAAGGAGTGGTGATGTATGAGGCTATACTTTTAATCTGGACTAGGTAATATCAGACATTGTGAACTTTGTGCTGGATTTGTATTAAACATGTATCAATAAAAACAGATAAAAGACAAAATGACAGACACCTGAGGGATTTGTGCTGATCAAAGCCGGAATTTATACCCGACAGGTGCATTGTTTCTAAGCGTATGTTTGATGCAAGGGAAGGAATGGATGAGTTAAAACTCCAGAGTGTAGATTTTGTATTAATTTAAAATTGATTGCCAGAAAAATATGAGCTTTATATTTTCATTTGATTAGAAATATGCATGAAATTTTCTCTTATTTCATATAGAATTCTGTTTGTTTTTACAGTTGGGAACAAGGATTGTTTTATGTTTGTTTATATTCAGTGAGCCACGAACACTCTCAACATATTAATTATTTATTTGCAAGGCAGAACTCTGTATATAACAATATCTATTAATATATATATATACTGTATATGTTTAATTGTCATTGCTTCTAATTATATTATATCATTATGTAAATAATCATTCATTCTTTTTGCAACTTATTATTAGATATGAAATAAAAATAAAAAAACATTAGATTTCTGGGTATGATGTAGATATAAAGTGATGCTATATATTATGTATTTATCTGAATATAGGTCATTCTCTATATCTATAATGTATATATAACTTAAATCAAGGGCAATAATTGGATTCCATACACTATGACTATAGTATTATCACAATAAATAAACAAATCTGAAAATATATCATTGATAATTGATGCAGTTGATGTTATGTTGTGCTTCTAAAAGCTGATATTAAGAAAAGTATAAGAATATGTCATGTATGCAAAATCAGACCTGGAGATAATGATTTTAGTTGTATGTGACTAAATATCAGGCACTAACTACAAAACTAGTACCTGCTATTTTGACAAAGCATGACAGTATGCCTGACAATATCATGACAAGTGCCATATTTCCAGGTTTGAAAATCTACAAATGAATATATTCTTAAATTGTGTAATTCTTAGCAGGCCATCGTTGCAAGATGAGAGTCAATTAATAATATGACCGTTTTTACTAAACTCACATCACTTGGCTGTACTGTTTTGCTACCACATTTTCATTGGTCAGTCATTTCATGTTTGAACTGCTAACTGCTTGCGTACCTGTCTCTATATATAAACATCTTTCAAGACATTTGGTCACACATTATCACCTGAAGTTCAATCAGTTGTATTGTTTATTGTGTGGATATGAAGATGAAATAAGTGTTTTATTATCTGAAATTATGTCATTGAAATGTGTCCCATGTTTCTTGGTTGTCATATCAGGCTTGTTTTAAGATGTTTATTTATTATGGTTGTTACAGCATCAAATGACTTGCTATTCATTCAGTATAAGGCCAATATGGGCTATAATCTGTATATACCAGAATTTGTCCACCCCTCACTGCGCTGGTATGTGGGGTCGACATGCAGTAGGCTACATGATCTTACTATTCATTCAATATAAGGCCAAACTGCTATCTATGTATATCAGAATCTACTCACCACTTAATGTGCTGGTATGTGTATCGACATGCATTAGGCTAAATGACTTGTTTCTTATTCAGTATAAGGCCAACAAGGTCTATAATCTCTATATATATATCAGAATCTGTCCACTCTTGACTGTGCTGGTATGGTGATATGTGTGGTCGACATGCAGTAGGCAAAATGACTTGTTACTTATTCAATATAGGTCAACAAGGTCTATAATCTATAGATATATATCAGAATCTGTCCACCACTTAATGTGCTGGTGTGTGCGGTCGACATGCTGTAGGTGACTTGTTACTCATTCCATGGCCAATATGGGCTATAATCCATATCTAGAAGAACATGTCCATCACTCAGATTCTGAATTTAACCTGTATTAAATCTAAATTCAAGTTTAACATTTATTCATTGAATCAGATGTATGAGCTATAAGCAATTGGTATCAGGTTTGTTGTTATCACCTAATAAAGCTAAGGTTTACAAAGAATGAATGTCGAATGAATGATTTAAATCCAATCAAAGATTGAATTAGTAATTTCTTGATCAAAAATACTCAATGAAATCTATTATTTATTATAAAGGAAAAATTATGCACCATAAAACGTTATAAAATATTATTATTATTGTTTAAATGTTATTGTTTGATTTTATATAAATATCACTTGTACTGTTGTAGTTTGAAAGGTTTTATATTTTGATGCTCAATAACGTCAGGTAGCTAAAGAGAAAGGCAAAAGTTTTGTTGAAAAAAAAAAAAGAAAAGAAAACTTTTAACATGTATGAAACATCCCAAATTCATTAAATAATCTATTATAGAGGTAAAAAAAAAAATATATGTATATATCCAAAAAAAAGAAAGATAAATTTATAGTGTGTTAAACAAGCCTACATTGAATATATAAATATCTTATACAGGTCCGATATATGGTATATGGTCAAAATAAAAAATACTTATGTTTACAGATATCCAACTGACCCAATTGTTTTCAGCCAGGGCCTATTATCAGTCTCCGGGTGTTTTTTTGTGGAGAAATTCAAACACTGACATTATTTTTTTGTGGACAAATTCAAACACTGACATTATTTTTTTGTGGACAAATTCAAGCACTGACATTATTGTATTATTTTCAAGAACTTTACTCAGTAATAAAGATAGAATGTTTGGAAATAGATAATGCAAACCTCACGAAAAAAAAAGATTTTCTGACTGACTGCCTCTATTTTTTGTGGCAAAGTAACTGTAAACACAGGTTGTTGTTATTTTTCTTGACCTAATACAAAGCCAATTTATCAAGATTCAAGAATTGCCGATGTGCCAAAAAAAGATAAAAGTATGAAATCATGCATCAAACTATGCTATATGTATAAAATGTACCTACAATGTAAATGGCCGAAAAACTCAAATCATTATGTGCAATGTATGTAGCCTGTCTGTGTTTCTTTCAGCAAATCAATGTTATGTAGATAGTACTATTAAAATTTCTTTCTTCAAAACACAATATTTTATTTTTTTGTTTCATTCCACTTTTGAATAAAAGGATGATCGAGTAAATTATGGTGACTGCTATATAAATTGTCAGAACTTTATTATGCACTGCCAGTCTGTAAATAAGTCACTGGGTTTCTATCCTGTCCCCTATGACTCAATAAATTAACCTGCTGTCTTGGATAAAAAAAAAATGGCTCTCATAGAAAAAGTAATCACTATCCAGTGTGATATAACTTGTCAGACTTGGCTACGTCCATGACCCTATACCCACATAGCTTTATACAGTAAAGATAAACTAGCAAACAGTGAGTCTGATTTCACCTACACTATGCCAACAAAAACAGATGACAGTATTTGCATATTTTTCTTTTTGTAATTTTGCTTATTTCAAGCAGAAAATGGCTATTATCGAAGGTAGGGAGATGTCCACTCCACATAAACCAGGTCATTTCAGGACTAACAGGTACAATTTTAATTCAATAATTTGCTTGAGTGTAGGGATCTGTAGCAATGGGAGGAAACCAGAAGACGGGAGAAAACACACAAGGTTGGGCAGTAACAGGTGTTGATGCAATAAAACTAGGTTAACTTTAACCACTCTGACTATTAGAATCAAATTTATGGTGTCTCAAAGCATGGACAAATCAAATTACTTGTTTCTGCTTAGCCTAAGTTGAAATACTCATCAACCTCAGTTGAACATCCACACCAAGTTTGAACATTTTATCTCATTTACAAGCCGAGTTGTTGTTCCAAGATGTTTCAATGGACTTCTCTTTTACAGTACATTTTCTTTGTGATCAGTCCTACATATCCATTTGGCATCGGTCAATCTTTATAGTAACATTTTATATTTAGGAAAGAGTGAGGGGTCTATTATGGGTGGGAGTCACGCTGGCTCAGTGAGTAAAGGTACTGACTGGCTAATCAGAATGTCTCAGGTTTGCCCCCAGTGTACCTCAGAATTTTCTGACATGGTTACTCCCTTGTCAGTGGTGCAGGGACAGAGGGCCTGACAAAAAGTGTCTAGTTGATTGGATGGTATGGAAACTGAGGTACCTTGCACACACTGGCATGCAATGTAAAAGAGCCCTTGACAGTTGGAATTCTAAATAAGAGTAAGGCCTGACAAGGACAGTGTCTAGTCATTCAGATGGGACAAAATGAGAGGTCTCCTGTAAACATTGACGTGCACGTAAAAGAACCCTTGACAGTTGGAATTTGATATAAGTGTATGCTCGTTTATTAGCCATGTTGGAACAGAAATTAGGAAGTTGAACCCCATTCCATTTCACTTAATTAGATCAACACTTTTTATCAAACTATTTCTTTCTTAGAACATTAGACTTATTTTTTTAATTATGAGGGATTGGTCCTGTCCTAGACATGGAATGTCAGGAAATAGATTCCAAAAGCAAAGCAAATATTATATATTTACACAAGTTATTGATATTCCATCTTTTAATGAAAATTGCTCACTTAAACATACATATAATATTTCATTGTACAACATAAGTAAATATATAACATCATACAATAAACATAATATACATTAAATAATATTTACAATATAAATCAGTGTATATATATGATGTAAAGGTCAGTCATCTTATAAAATTTTTATACAATAAAGTTCACCATAAATAAATTTCACTATATAATTCTATTACACAATAAGAAAAATGGATTATTTGTTATATATCTTCACAATTTTTGCTTGACAATGAAGACATCAAAAACAATCAGAACAACTGAAAATATTTTTAGTATTGTTCACAATTTTTGCTTGATATCAAAGACATTTCACAATGAACAGAACAACTGAAAATATTTTTGGGGGTATTAATACATTAAATCTTATCTAATAAATACCAGTTAATTTTGAAAATATGATAAAAGTTTATAAAAATCTAGAGAGTTTGAGGTTTTTCACTCTGTAATAATTTCTGTATGATACACACAAGTTCATTACCTACAAGTAAAAAATACATCAATTATGTATACATATTACAGGAATCAAACCCTGTATGACTCCAAAGGGAATGAAATTAAATAAAATGTGGTTAAACATCCATCTTTTCTGCAATGTCTGGGCTAATGAAGACGGCATATGCCATACAGTGTGCTATAAGGGATATTTTTCTTAGACAGTGGAACTATGGCCTACCATTATTTAGAATTCCAATTGTCAAGGGTTTTTTTTTACATGCATGCCAATAGATATTCCCCTAACCATGTCAGTTGGAAGCACATCAATGCACAGAAAAAAAACTTAAATGAAATGAGGCTTTGCATCTTACTTTCCTGCATCGACCGGATCAAATGCACAGCCAAATATACAAGGTATTTACATCATATATGCATGTTATAACAAAAAGACTTTGGAAATTGGACAAAATTAATAATCCTTATACAGAAGTCAAATTTGTACATTTTGTAGATTTCATCAATACACTAGCATCATGATTTAAAGAAAGTGATTTATATTCTAGTTTTGAATTGTCGGTGTGATTTATGTCCCTTTAGTCTCCCAGTTGTCCATTATATCTTTACTTACCAGAAAAGTTTAATGTGGGATTTTCGAGTTTACTTTGTAATAAATCACTTAATAAATTACGTAACTCCTTAAATATAACACCAGTTCTAGCATAGGTCTGAAAAAAGAACATCAGATCAAAATACTATTTAAATGTCAGTTTCTTCAGATTTCCCCACTCCATATTTCCCTATCCTTTTGTAAACTTATGTTTGGGAATCTAACAGACATGGGGTTTAATTTTACACAAACTATTTTATTTCAAAAACCCACCAGGTTGGACAGGGGATCCTACCCCTTGTCATATACATGCTTTGGACTAAATCCATACACGCTGACTCAAAGACAGACCTAATGATCAAAAAGCATTTACATTATTCCACTCAGCCACACACGATTCCTAACTCCCCTCTCCTCCACGAAACGGAAAGATAGGAAGAGGATTCTAACATCTTGTTATCTTAAATCAAATATACAGTAATATAAGGGAGAGAAAATCTGGATAGCATGTTGCCCTCTATTCTTCAAATCAATTATTCTAAAGCGTTAGAAACACTAGCCGAATCATTCGGCCGAATGAATCGCCACCAAAATTTGCCTAGTGTGTCCAGTGTTCCATTGCCGAATTTGTATTTGCCTGAATGAATCACTCGAATCAAACATGTTTGATATATTTAGCTGAATTTTCATTTGCCGTATTTATAATCCCCTGGTGTGTCTGGTTCACCGAAGTATTCGACCGATTGTAGAATTCATTAGCCAATCACCGCTGATGTTGAGAAAGTCACATAATTTTCTAAAGACAAAATGGCGACTATTGCTTTAACTTGGAATCTGAGAAAGAATCAGAGCTTATTATTTTATAGGAGGAGACGAATACGGCATAAATTAAACAAATTCCCACTGCTACAGTTATTTTTTGCTTTTTCTTTGTCGCTGCCATGCTTAATCATGTGACTTATCACCTGAAAGGTGATGCAATCGACTGGTGAATCAGGCGAACAATTCGCCATGGGTGTCCACTTAATCGGGTGATGAATTTGGCAGTAAATGATTTGGCCGAATGTTTCAGCTAGTGTGTCTCCCACTTTACTAGCATATATTAAGTATGATTTAATGATCAAGAGCAAGACATTAAGTAATATACTGAGTCTGAGTGTTATATTAAAATATTACATAATGCCTTGCTTGAGACCATTACACAACTTAAGATAAAGACACTATCCTGCACGTGCATCTCATTGAAATCGTCACAGGAGTCCAATATTTCATCTAGTATAATGTACGATTATTTGAAATAATGGTATGCCAACAACAAAGGATGACGTCACATCTGTATTTTAAGATATAAGGAAATACCTGTACCTTAAATTTAATCCAGTTATCAACTGTAACTAATTGTTGTGTATGCTGAACATCTATAGCACCTCCAAACAATAACAATGGAAATGGTGATATTAATGTAACATCTCTCAAATAAACACGAGCTAATTTTACCTAAAAATAAACAATATTTAAAATCATATACCTAAGCACAAATATACAATAAGTCCTAAATTTGAAGTCTGGAATCAACTTCTGGATTCAATTTCTGATTTTACTGAATTTTGAAAGCAAGATGTATTATTAGAAATTGAATTTCCTGTTTTTCACAAAATATATATATCACAAAGAAAACTCAATTCTTGTATTTACAGTCTAAAATTGTTAACAGATATATGATACTGATGTTATCAGTTGATCATCGAGAAACCACTACATTTCTCATGGCTTAATCCACACTAATATGTACTCGGATTAATTATTAAATATTTAATTAAGACAACAAAATCAAAATATCAACACTAGATAATATTCGTCTTGGATTAAATCACATTAAAACTAGGCACATCAATAAGATTTTGCGGAAATCTTAACGGAATTGGACAATTTTTGGACAGATATTCCTATTAGTGATTCAACTTTTACGGTATTGTAGTTTGTAAGGGATTCCTATATCATCCAAATCAAGCTCAAAGACTTTAAATTAGTTATGATGTCATTTGAATTAGGGGGGTTTGCAGGCCAAATGGTTAACACATGTGCGTTGTATCATAAGGTCTGTCATTGAGTCTAATGGCGTGGTTTTGATTCCCCGCTTGAGTGTGACAAGGAGTAGAGTCGCTTGTCCAACCTCGTGGGTTTTCTCCGGGTCCTCTGGTTTCCTCCCACTGCTCAAGAACCCCTACGCGCAAGTAAATTAATGAAATAAAATTGAACCATATGTTAGTCCCAAAATGACCTAGTTTCTATCGAGTGAACGATAAACCCCATTTCACTCTCTCTCGTGCTTGAATTAATTTGTACCTTTTCATGGTATATCAACCATCCGTTTGTCTCCATATATCTATTAACTGATGAAGGATGTATAGCTATAGAAGCATGTTGTGTTTCTACTATACATAGTTTCTTATCTGGATACAGACATGCATCTACTGGAGGGGTGTGGCTTACACGACCAACATTAGGATATAAACCAGCAGTCAACACAGCTTTTACCATAGCGATGACCCCTGTGTCAAGTTGTTCTGTTGATTTTGACAGACCAGACATCGTATCAAAACCAATTGAACCAACTAGTTTGATGAGATCATTCTTCACATTCTGTAAAATAACAGATGATATATATATTTATATATTTTATAAAATTAAAAGATTGGTACACAACTTTTCACATATTTTCTATATTGAGGAAACCAATTTGTACCCAAAATAGGACAATTTTTAGCAATTATATCTTTAGTTCGTTTTGTCTTTGTGGTTCTGAATTAACTGATCTAACATATTCAGAACATCTGATGTTTAAACGTCTAATGTCAACTGAGAGAGAGAGAGAAATGGGGTTTAACGTCCACTCGACACAAACTAGGTCATTTCAGGACCAACATACAGTTCAATTTTATTTCAATCATTCGCCTCCACGTGGTGGTCTTTAGCAGTAGGAGGACCCGGAGAAAACCCACGAGGTTGGACAGGCGACCCTACTCCTTGTCACGTACAACCAGGGATTCGAAACCACGCCAGTCGACTCAATGACAGACTTTATGATACAGCGCGCACAGCTAACCATTTGGCCATCCAACCCCCCCTAATGTCAACTGAGATATGAACGCAACATCAATGGATGATGTCTTGGTAGGATTGGAAAATGGGCTGAAAGCACCTGATTTTAATCCGACTTTGTACTTTTGACTATATCGAATTTCAATGCCAGTCAGTAACGGGTTATACAATATAACTAAAACAACAGCTTTCGCTTACTTCTAGGAAACGATAAAAAAAATAATAATAATGGTATCTAAGTGATAATTCATCCATATATAAGTCAAAGCAGAGTACAAGAGAAAGTCCTGACTCCCGCTGAAAAAGTATAGATTTGTACCCCATAAATTATAGTATTGAATTTTCTCTACATTATTACAAAAGACTTCCACAATATTTAGTTATGGCAGCCAGAAGATGAAGGAATAACAAAGTACTGATAGTCTTGTTTTTCTACCAAATAGACAAGAAAGATATTTTTTTCTCTTCTACCAAAAAGTGGTTCCTAGTCTGAAAATTGGGTAAATTCTTATTTTCATATGGAAAAATATCACATATTAAAAGGACATATGATTTATATGAATAACCAAAGCTACTCACCTCAATATCAAGTAATGTATTGCGTTTTAAGAAGTTTGTTCGACAGTAAGTTTCTTCAGCATTACGTCCTTGATTCTGAGCTTTCTTCCATCTGTAAAACAAGCAAATGTTCATATAAATACCAATATGACCATACATACATAGAATATACTATATAATTAAGCTCTGCATATCATGTGAAAATATAGAAAAATAATCTTACCCAACAGAAGCTTTACATACTAGTGATGTCATATGATCTGACTGAAGCATGATCTTACCTAACATAAACTTTATATAATGTCAGACGAACAGATTGAAACATAATCTTACCTAACATAAATTTTATATAATGTCAGGTGGTCAGATTAAAACATAATCTTACCCAACATATTCAGCTCTATATAATGCCACATGATAGATTAAAACTTAAAGCTTTATATAATGTTAAATGATCAGAATTTTACCCAACTTAAGCCTTATATAATGTCAGATGAACAGATTGAAACATAATCCTACCTAATATAAACCCCATATATAATGTCAGGTGATCAGACTAAAACATAATCTTACCCAACATATACTCTATACACTAGCATTGCCAGATGATCAGATTGAAACATATAATATTACCCAACAAGTTCTCTATATAATGTTTAATTATTAGATAGAGATATAACAGAAGTGTTTTATATATTTGATGATTATATATAGAAATAATCTTACCCGATAAAAGCTCTATATAAAGTCAGATGATCAGATAGCGATATAGATAAAGCTTGTTTAGCTACATCAGCACCTTCACGTTTACCTAATGGTACAACAAATGGTGATTTATCTGTCATGGTTGCTGCTATAACAGCCTGAAATTAAAAATAAAATTATCAAAAATAATGAAAAAAAAAAAAAATATTTTTCATGAAAACTCAATGTATTCTGATTAATTCTGATCCCGTCCACCACCTTTGAATTTTAACTACTAAAGGTTTATTTACAATTTATTTACAAGTAGCTTTTGGCCCCCCCATCCCCATATCTTAGTAACACATTCAAGGAAATATGTTCATGTATTATGTTTTTACACAATGCAAAAAAATTGGATTTGATCTGAGTTATATGAAAGACAGAGAAATGGAATTTAATGTCTACTGGACTCAAACTAGGTCATTTCAGGACTCACGTATGGTTCAATTTTATTTTATTAATTTGCTTGCTTGCTTAGCAGTGGGATGAAACCAGAGAACCCGGAGAAAACCCACAAGGTTGGACAGCTGACCTTACTCCTTGTCATGCACAAGCGGGGAATCAAAACGACACCACTTGACTCAATGACAGACCTTATGATGCAACATACATGCGTTAACCATTCGGCCACCACCCCACCACCCCTGAGTGTAATGGATTAATAACATTTTTGCCACTTTGAAATATAAGGTGATCTGTTGCTACAATTAATCTTTAGTTTACTGTCTACATAATACTTACCACTTGCTCTAAACAACCAAATACTGCTGAATATAGTAACATCTTACCAATACGAACATGTACTGGTAATGCAGCTAGATGATGACCTAATGGTGTCAGAGTATTACCTTCCTCTTCACAAGCACCTACAGCTCGTAATAGATCCATGGCCCGTATAACCGATAGTTCATGTGGTGGATCTAATCCTTGAGACAAAAACTCTACTGGGTGACCAAAATTACATTTCTGAAATTTTTTTAAAATGTTTAGAATACTTCTACATATATTGATCAATTTAATCAACTACTTGTACTGGAACAATTAAAGTCACTGATTGTTCCTAGTAAACTACAATATTGTAAAAGTTTGATTTTTAAAAGGGATACCAGTCTTAAGCTGTTTCAAATACGCTCAGTCTTTACAAAGTTATGATTAATTGAAAATTCACATCCTCTACAGATGATATAAACAAGCCAGTGCCACCTATATGTGTTGGTTAAAATCTTTTGTTGGACCTTTTTTTTTAACCCTTATCCGATCATTGTCGACTATAATCACTACAACGTTATACAGCAAAGTGGTCACAAAGTGGTCACGGACGACTAAAGTCGACCACAGGAAGAAACTTTTTTATAAGCATCATTTGAGTATTTAGTTTCGTATTTAATTGATATGGCCTTGCATGCGTGACAGACAGGAACTTGTCTTGTCAAGTGCATTGAGAAAAACATGTCTTTGTTCATCATTTTTTGAGGAAAAACTGATTTACCGATGTCAGGAAGGTTTAAGATGCTCGAAGTGGTTGAAATACTTATGAATTATTCCGACTCGGATTTTATCGATGACACCGATTCTGAAGACGATATTTCTGATGAAAAGGATTTAGAATGATTTGCAAATTATAGATCAACTTATCCCCATCAACTTTTTTATTGTTGTCAAGAGTCTATCATTTATAATTATTCGGCAGTAGTCGATTGAAATAGGCATACAAATTATTTCACGTCAGCCTTTATTTAGCCTGACCACTTGACGTCATGACGTCAAAATGACGTCGACCGGTTAAGAGTTAAGCGGATGTGAATCCAGGTTGTTAGATTATCTACATATGTTGGTTTGGTTTTCTTAATTAAATGTTAAATAATCAGTACATTTTACTGTGGATTAAGCAGTGAAAAATTTGAAATCGTCAAAAAGATTGGTATCAGCGACTTAATTTACTGTAGCAACTTGCAAGCTATCTTGACACATCATTATTTCACATACAAGAAACACTGAAAATTGACTTTATAAACTATTTGTCATGTTCTTGTCTCTGAACCATGCAAGTTCTTTAAGAGTAGAGTCGACCACCCCTGCCTACCCCCTCTTTGGACTGTCAAATATAATTTTTTTTTACAAGATACCGCCAATTACAGATATAATTATTACTAACCATAATATTCAAACATAATTCTTCTAGTGGTACTCTCAATATCTCTGGTATAGTGTAAGCCTTGAAATCTTCATACCTACAATATATCACATATAATCACACCACACCAGCCACTATTTACTGAGTGATGGACAAATGGGGTTTAGCTTCCACTCAACAAAAAACTAAGTCATTTCAGGACTCACATAGGCCTAGTCCAATTTTATTTAAATAATTTGCTTGCGCATAGGGACTTTAGCATTTGGAGGAAACCAATGGACTCAAGGTTAGGCAGGCTACCCTACTCCTAGTCACATACAAGTGTGGGATCGAAACCACAAAACAAGCCACTTGACAGAATTACAGACTTTATGATCTAAAGTGGATACATTTAAAAAATATATTCCACATCAGTTGAGTAATTAAAACTTTAAAATTCTACTAAAATCCTACTTACATAGCTTGAGTAAATAACCTAAAACAGAAACCATTTTGAACACGACCTGCACGGCCTTGTCTTTGTTTAGCATTGGCTTTACTTATAAATACTTCTTCTAAACTACTCATCTGTTTAGTTTCTATATATCTGAAAGACGAAAACAATTTTAATCATTAAAAATTTCATCAATAGCCATAAAACAGTATTTAGATATGTGGAGAATTGCTGTAAACATTTATAAAATGAGACATTTTCTATACTTACTTGTATACATGCATCTAGTTAAAAATTCTGAATACATGTTACTATAAATAACTTTCTATGTTTTCTAAAATGACATATTCATATAACAATAACTCTTGGCCTTATTAAAAAAAATTAACTAAAATATTTTGAAAATCAGCAATTGCATTGACTGGATTTAAAAAAATCCCAGAACAGATTTAAGTTTAATTTAAATGTTTACGAATAAGGCCCATGTGCTTCTACTTTCAAGCATAAACTGAAATATATATCAACTTCAATTGAAAATCACAAAACAGCTTCAGCTCTATGCTGCATCCACATTTTCTTTGAGTTGAGTGTTTGTCAAAAAGGTTCTGGAATCTGGACCACTACTTTGAAATTTTGCTAGCAGAACATTATAACGAATGTTAAAAGATTCAAAATAGAAAATCTAGTCCTAGAAATATGAGAGTTTCTTTAAAGTTACAATTTCATATTTTTAAGTTATATTTTTACAATGTATTAAAATAAAGCCCTAAAATAGATGGTATCTATAAACAGTCCTACCAAGAATAATCCTATTAATCCTATAATTCACTATTGACAGTTGAGAAGTTGGCAATAATATCATTTTCAACTTCAAATTCCAATGTTTGAAGATAGCTATTCCATGGTGGAGAATAGGAAAACAAGGGAGGAAATTGTGTTATTATTTCCGGTGTGAAGATTTTTAAGTGTGAGAAAGATAACCTATGATCGTATAATAGTGAGTTGACAACCTATTGAGCAAAAGACATAAAAATAATTATGTTTTGACTTTCTTAGAAAATATGAAATTGTAACTTTAACCCGTTAAGTGTGACGTTTTTAAAACGTTAACTACCCCCTATTGTGTAATTAATTTGACGAAGTGATGAAGAACTATGTACTGTGTTCTAAGAATAGGTTGGGGAAAATACCTCCAAGGCGTTATATTATGCCCTACACACAGTGAGTGGCAGTTGTCCAGGACGTAATATAACGTCCTACACATGCTGCGATCGTGGGGGAATTCCCAAGGGATTCCCCCAAGTGACGAACTATGTTCTAAGAATAGGTTGGGGAAAATACCTCCAAGGCGTTATATTATGACCAACACACAGTGAGTGGCAGTTGACCAGGACGTTATATAACGACCTACGAACTTAACAGGTTAATATATTTCTTGGATTGGGGAAAAACAAAAGAGTTTATAATAGAATAGATAAAAAAATCACCATTCTAATGCGGATCTGCGATTATAGCAAAAGAGCTGCAAGCTAGCACAACCCTGAATGTCCCCCCACCCTCCCCCCTTTAAGCTCTGAAGACAACTCACCTGGTTTCTTTAACTTTTCCTGAATCAATAACAAATATAACGTCTGGTATAGTAATACCTGTTTCTGCTATATTGGTTGCTAGGACAACCTTCCTGACACCTGGTGGTGGAATATTAAACGCTCTAGTTTGATCACCAGATGATAAAACTGAATGAAGAGCTAAGATCTGATATCTGTCATGATAAAATGAAAAATTTTATTCAACAAAGCAAGTTTATACAATCGAAAAAATTGTAACTCTTCAAATGAGAAGTGATATCATATGTTCTAGAAATAGTAAGCATACTTCTCATGCACAAACCAACTCCTACTTACAGCTAAATATAATGATAGCTTGGACTAGGATTAAACAAGCTTGAACTTTTTCCAAACAGTTACAGATAGGAAAATTATTCAAAATAACTAAACAATTTCATGCATATACTGGTCAAAAATGGAATGGAAAGATGACATCTGCCACTGGAAACACTACATTCTATCTACACAGGATCAGCTATTCTACTTATGTGAATCATAAGTATTTGTGTAAACTTGCCTTAATTTAAAACAGAAATCCAACCAGCATATGCAAAGATCACCAAAATGATTATTACAGAAATGAAAATGGGGTTTAACGTCCTACTTTTCTGAAGATGGGCATAAGCCATATAGTGTGCTATGAGGAAAGATTTGCCCGAACAGTGGCAAATGCCAAGGGGTCTTACAGTGTTCTGATTTTGTGCACATATATAATTCTTTTTTTGAACTCGATCGCTTGATTATTGGCAAAAGGGGATAATCATATACGGTGTATAAATCTTTTTTTGGACTTGATCTCCTGATGATTGGCAGAGAATTGACTGATCATATACAGCACACAAGACAGGTAGAATGTGGCAATACTCTATAAAACTCAGAATAATCAGATGGTTGATTGTTACCTGTTTCTATCAGAAAATTCTCTCTCAGTTGTTAAAACTTCATTTAATTCTTGAATATCAGCTAACCCTGGTAAAAATATTAATATTGCACCTTCCATATCACAATATGGCTCCTTATTACCCAAATATTTGATTAAATCCTAAAATTACAACAATAATATAATAAATTTCATTTTGAAATTTAAAAAAAAAATAAATTCCAAAGATATATACTGTAGTTTTCAGTACACATTTTTTACCAATCATACTGGAAGAGGTGTACCTAAAGCATGGTGTTAAAAGCAAATCTGGGATTTTTCTGTGTCCACATATAAGTTTGAAGATTAAAAAATAATTGCTTGAATACATGTGTGAACCATATCAGCATAAAACTTTTAAAAAATAAATTTAATACTGCACCGTTAGAAAAATGGGCTGTTATATTTTATTGTTCATATATAAATATTGTACTCACTATAATGAGATCCATATTAATTCTATTATGGTTAAGTCTTGTTACAGCATTTCTTGTACGTAGACAATATTTCTCTGCTGATAGATCCGTCTATAAAATATACATCAAAAATACTTTTCTATTTTTTTTTTATCAACAATTTCAGATTGTCCCAAGCAGCAATGAGTATCATGCAAAAGCCATGATATGGCTGCCCCTTATAAAATCACTGATACACAGAGCCAACTAAAGCGACAATTTGATGATTTAGGGGTGCTTATTTATAGGTCTGAAGATTCTGTTCTGTCGGTACATTTCTGATGTATTTAGTGGTGCTTATTTATGAGTCTGAACATTCTGTTTTGCCAGTACATTTTTGACGTATTTTATATATCTTTGATTTGCAAGATGTTTTTACAAAGAGTATGACAATTTCAGCATCTTCCCAACTTTTAAATAATATATATTTAAATGTTTTTAAACATAAAAACTATAAATTTCACATTTTTTTTTATTTTGCATTTACAGGGTTCCCGCGGCTTCGTCAAACATTTTTTCAAGGATATTCAAGGATAAATATACGTCAAATTCAAGGATTTTCAATGACATTTTTTAGCCTAAAGTTACAATTTTTCATCTTAAAAATAACCAAAACATTACCAACTATCGTTATAATCTCATATTTAAAAGGAATTGAAGACATTTGAAACAAAATTAAGGATCTCAACTGAAATTCAAGGATATTTTCCTATTTCCGCGAAATTCAAGGATATTCAAGACCTTGAAAATGACATTTTAAATTTAAGGATATTCAAGGATTTTCAAGGACCACGGGAACCCTGATTTATTTCATGGCATATAATCTGACAGACAGGTAAGTTCTCCAGCCAGTCATTTCCACTGATAATCAGTCAAGACTGGCAGATATGACTGTTGTAAGAACTCTGCTGTCGCCTATTTATAATAAGACTGAGGTCTGATTCATCAAGTGTATGCGAGTTGCCTAGTAAAATGATTGATTTACATTTACATGTAGTTTATGTGCAGTTTGTAATAGGATATATTTGTAAACTGTATCTGAAATTATGTTAAAATTATGTTAAACCTTGATCTTTCAAAAACAAACAAATACCATACCCTGTCAATTCTCGATATATTTTCTTTAGTCCAATGAACGTCCATTTTTGTTGATTCTCCACCTTGAACTGTGACCTCAACATTGGCTGATTCTTCCTAATAAATAGGTAATATAAACAATTTAACTAAATATATACCTTTTTAATTCCAAACTATTTTTGGTAAGTTAAACGATGGGGGTAGAATTGATACACAAATAAAGTAGCAATATTTTGGAAATCTAACAATAGATTATAATATTTTGTTGGGAGCAAACTATTTCATTGCATAACTTAAAATATCATAACAGAAAATATCATGCTTGCCGACTAAAAACATAGGTAGACACAAAATGATATAAATGAAATGAAATGGGGTTAACATCCTAGTTTTCTGCACCAACTACTCATATTTCAACTTCCAAATGTAAAGGGTTCTTTTACGTGCACGCCACTGTGTACACAGTACCTCAGTTTTTTGCCCAAACTGAATGATTACACTGTCCTTGCGTGGGGGAAACAACATTTATTTTAACCATCCTACACCAAACCATCTGTCCACCAAGTAAATTACCTGTACGAGCTGATTAGGATTATATAGAAATCACTGTACAAGTTGATTAGGACTCTAAGTATATTACCTGTACAAGTTGACTAGGACTATATGTATATTTAGAATCATCATCGACTATATAACCACACATTTCTATGGCATCTTCAACATGGAATATCTATAATATAAAATGTTATAAAACATTTCAACATGGAATATCTATAATATAAAATGTTATATAACATTTCTACATGAAAAATCTATAACATAAATTGTTATATAGTATTTCTACATGGTATATCTATAATATAAAATGTTATATAACATTTCTACATGGTATATCTATAATATGTTATAAAACATTTCTACATGGTATATCAATACAATAAAAAGTTATATAACATTTCTACTTGGTATATCTATAATATAATATGTTATAAAACATTTCTACATGGTATATCAATACAATAAAAAGTTATATAACATTTCTACTTGGTATATCAATAATATAAAGAGAGAGAGAGAGAGAAATGGGGTTTAACGTCCACTCAACACAAACTAGGTCATTTCGGGACTAACATATGGTTTTAATTTTATTTACATAATTCGCTTGCGTGTAGGGGTCTTTATCAGTGGGAGGAAACCGGAGGACCCAGAGAAAACCCACGAGGTTGGACAGGCGACCCTACTCTTTGCCACGTACAACCGGGGGTTCGAAACCACAATAATATAAAAGGTTATATAACATTTCATATATTTAATATGAAATTTTATTTCACATTTCTACTTGGTAGATCAATAATATATAATATTTAATAAACATTTCTAAAATTACAAATTGATTAAAATTTAACTGTAAGCTTTGATTAAAATGGCAATGGATTTTCATCTCCAATGACTAGTTGAATTGCAGCTGAGAATTTAAACCAGATTGTCTGTCAAGATTTAATTAAACTTACAGTGTTCAGCTAGCAGATTTATTGAATATGAAAATCAACATAGAATCCACACAAACAAAGGTTTTCAAAAAGCAAGTTTCATATTTTAGCCAGAAAAAAGCTGAATAAAATGAGTTTGATGTCCTACTATTCCGCAACAACTAGGCTTATGAAGACATCGTGAATCGATATAATTAAACTTTACCTCAACAGGGAATGTACGACCAGGTATATTTATCACAGGACAATATTGAAAATACGATGAAAATTTCTGACTGTCCAATGTAGCACTCATTAAAATAACCTTCAGATCTTGTCTTTTAGTAAGTAATTTTTTAACAACAATCAACAAAAAATCGGACTGTACACTTCTTTCATGAACCTGAAAAGATTTCATAAATAAAACCTTTGTTTTAAAACATCTGAAATAAACTTACATAGATTTATCAAGTATAGCTGGGTACACTGGAGAGATCAAATGGTACAGTTAATAATTAATTAGCCCATTCAAATGTCTACTTTTTCCTGTGTAGTTTGGATATATTCTCCAACCCAGAGAGAGAGAGAGAGAGAGAGAGAGATGTCTTTAAATATCCATTTGACACAGGCTAGGTTATTTCAGGACTAACATTATGGTACCATTTTATTTCAATAATTCACTTGTGCATAGGTGTGAGGAAACCAGAAAAATCCCACGAGGTTGTGCAGGCAACCCTATTTTTTATCATGTACACGCTTGGGATTGAAACCACACCACTTGACTCAATGACATACGTTAGCCGCCATTAGACAACTCCTTATTCTCCAAGCAATGCTTACATTTAATCAAGAGCTTAGATACCAGGAAGACATCTTTAAAAGAATAATAAAAAGTATTTACCTCATCTATAATGATATGCGTAATTTCATCAAGGTTAGGATTATTCTGTAGTTGTCGTAATATAACTCCTGTAGTACAGTATAATAGTTTCGTATTCATATTTTTCTTCGATTCAAAACGTATCTGATAACCACATAAAGAATCCGATTGGCCAAGCTTATATTCACCGAGTTCCTGAGATACACGAGTAGCCAGACTAATGGCTGATATACGACGTGGCTGTGTACAAACTATATTACATTTTTCACCATCACCTTTTTTAACCAAATCCTGAAACAAGAACAAATTAAAATTACTATATTCAAATCTTACCAAAACTAGTCCAAATTTTTGTCAGCTAACATATCTTATAATAAAAATATTCATGATTTGGGTATAATTATATATACAGAAATAGCTTGAAAGGCATTGATTGTCAATGTCAAAACTGAAAACAATTACTATGCGGTCACAGGTCCAGATCACGTTTTTACTTTAATATGTCTGTAGATGATAATGTAGTGACCGTCAGTATAAATGGAATGAAAATAACATATCAAGCCTGTGTAATAGTAGAGTGTTTTAATCCAGGAAGCGTTTCAGACACTAGCCCTACCATCAACTCGTACCTTTCATCTCCCAAAATGCTTACAAGATTAAACCACCCTACTATTACACAGTCTTCTTATGTTTGTTGCTGGGGAATTTTTGTCATTTAGATTATTTACAATGATTTTTTTCCTGCACCTCCCGACTGTATCACAGAGATCCAGAATGACAAGCACTATTCTAGGGATTCTTCTATTTTAGGGATTGTTTAGTCGCTATTTTTATTTAAAAAGAATTAGATATAAACCTACCTGTAAAATAAACTGTGGTACCTGTGTACTTTTACCACTACCTGTTTCACCTGCTATAACTATTACATTATCTTTAACTAATTTATCTAATATAATATCTTTATGTTTAAATACAGGTAGTTGTTGACGTGTACTATACAAATCTTTATACTGTGTACTATCTTCATTCTTATCTAATATATTAAATATATCCTCTCCATTTAGTTTCATTCTTGTCTTTTTTCCTTTATTTTTGGTTTTCTTTGGCTCTGGTTTAATATCCTGTAACATATTTACAAAATGTTTCATGATTAAATCAGGTGCGCCATGCTTTTCACTATAGCTGAATGGACCAAGAGGTGTGAAATAGCTATAGCTGAATGGGCCAAGAGTGGTCAAATAGCTATAGCTGAATGGACCAAGAGGTGGCAAATAGCTGTAGCTGAATGGACCAAGAGGTGTCAAATAGCTATAGCTGCATTAACATGATCTACAGAATTAGATATCATTTAAAATCGGTTTATTCAACAATTTCTGAAATACAGAAATAAAATGAGGTTTGATGTCTTACTTCTCTCTAGAAGAAGCGCATACACAATGCAGTGGGCAATGAGATAATTTTTATTAGGTATCAGTGCTACGGCGTACTGTTATTTCAATTTTCAACTTCCGAGGGATCTTTAACATGATGTCATTAGTACCAATACTGCACTAATGATAAGGGGAAATCAGGGCAGAAAACCCCAAAGAAACTCATTCATATATATAGAATTACAGATAAGTTTTCCTACTTCAAGGATTTTACATACATACTTCCCAGGACAAGTTTATGTCTATAATTAATTCAGATCACAATACATCAGTTAATATCAACTACTTACAATATCTTCATCTACTAAATCTTCCCAAGTTGTTTCCCTTTCCTCGTCTTCAGGACTTTTTGTGGCATTCGCATCTGTACTCGTTGTATTATTGTCTAATTTTAATTTTTTCATGAGTTTTGCTATGTATTGATCTCTCGGCTGAAATGTTATAATTAATCTATTCAATGACATAAGGACTAAACTTGTGAAATCTGCCAAGTAGCCAGAAAGAGAGGAATCAAGCACCCAGAAGACCAGTTCAAAAATCTGACCCTTGCTTACTCAACCAGGTCAATTGGGTGTAAAATTTGATCCTTGCTTACTCAACCAGGTCAATCGGTTGTAAAATCTGACCCTTGCTTACTCAACTTGGTCAATTGTGTGTATAATCTGACCCTTGCTTACTCAACCAGGTCAATTGGGTGTAAAATCTGACCCTTGCTTACACAACCAGGTCAATCGGGTGTAAAATCTGACCCTCGCTTCCTCAACCAGGTCAATCAAGTTTAAAATCTGACCCTTGCTTATTCCACCAGTTCAATCGAGTGTAAAATCTGAGTTTTTATTTTTTTACCTTATTTTCTTTATCAATAGCATCTTGTTTTTTAGTTTTATCAGCCTCTAACCAATCTAACCACACATCTCTATAAGGGGGAGGTAACACTTGATGTATTGGCTGAAACAAAACATGATATATTGGATGAATTATTATCAGATTTTAATTTCAAATTTAAAACAAAATATATTCGTACAAATTATTTCTCATGTTCGTTACAGAACGCCTAATACAAATTCCTACTAAGGAAATTGTTCTCATATTAAATTATGGTAATCTTGCTCACAAAAAATCCAAATTAGGACTGGTTTGGCAGTAATTAAAGCTACATTATGGGAGATTAGATAAAGAGCTGGCAGTTCTCACAATAATAGTTAAAAACTAAATAATGTAAAGGGAATTTGCTGAAAATTTCAGTCAAATTGATCCACTGAACCGAGAATTTAGCGATTGAATTATCGGCCTGGCCTCGATCATCATTACTAAAGTCGGTACGATAAAGAACATAGTCTTGATTATCCATTTCATGATTAAATCATGAATGAAAGTCGAACAGCAAATCGGAACTTAACCCAATAAACATCCCAGGCTAGCGATGACATCGAGAGTTGATTATGGTCTGGATAAGTTAATTAATGTCTAATTAATAATTTAGATAACATTTCAGGCCTAAAGAAAGACCTGCAATTGGCAGATTTCTCTTGCATAAGGTATATTTAAAAATGATCTTAAATTCAATATAATTCTGTTCAGTTTACCATTACAGATTGGACAATTTAAAAGATATCCTGATCTCTTTATAATAATATAACAGAACATGATGTGACTTACCTGCCCTTTACAGAGTTGATATAAAGCTAAAGTAGAGGCCAGATGTTCAGCATCTTTAACATTTTCACATAAAATATTGGGTACTAGTTCCAACACACTACCATCTTTCATTTTATTAATACGAACTCTGTAATATATAATTATATATAATAAACATTCTACATTTCTCATCTTCTAAACCTGATATTAGCCAATAATTTGACAGCGGATTCATGTTCTACACCTGTAGGGGGTTGGGTGATCAAGTGATCTGACGCATGCACTTTGGGTCATAAGGTTTTGATCCCAAGGAGTGGGGTACGAATGGTTCAAATCCAGAACGTGTTTCACAAGCCCAAATAATGGACAATGGCTTCTGTTAAATACTGGTGAAACAACAAGAGAGTAAAATGTGGACATATAAAACAAGTTCAGAAATTATTAGCTATATCTTACTTGCTTTTAAATCTGTTCATCTTGAGTTGTATTTTACTATATTTAGGTGGATCAGATTTAGGTAGATGTTTTCTAACCCAGTCTATGAGGAACTGTTTAGGAGATTTTCCTGTCCATTGCTGTCTGGTGTATTCAAAGTTTCTAACTTCTTCGACAGGACCTTTACCAGCCGACTTGGGTACTATTTAAATAAATAGAAACATTCTTAAACATTATGCAAGAGCTAAACCTGCCTATTGCAGGTCTTTATTTCGGTCTGAAATATTATTTAAATTATTAATTAGACATTAATTAACTTATCGATACCATAATCAATTCTTGATGTCATAGCTAGCCTTTGATGTTTACTAGATTAGGATCCGATTTGTTGCTGAACTTTCTTTCATGATTAAATCATGAAATGGATAATCAAGGCTATGTTTTTTATCGTACAGACTTTAGCAATGATGATCAAGGCCAGGCCGAAAATTCAATTTCTAATTCTCGGATCAGAGTGAATCAATTTGACTGAAATTTTCAGCAAATACCCTTTACATTATCTAGTTTTTAACTATTTTATTGAGAACTGCCAGCTCTTTATCTAATCTCCCATAATGTATCTTTAACTTATCATGGACATGCTATTAAACAATTTTATGAAATAAGCTTTAACATCCTACATACGCCATATAGTGTGTTATAAGGGATTTTTTTCCCGGATAGCGGCGCAAAGGCCTACTCTTATTTTGAATTCCAACTGTCAATGGTAATTTTACGCGCACGCCAATACGTACAAGTAACCTCAGATTTTCATGCCAACCAAATGACTAGACACTGTTTTTGTCAAGGCCTCCATCCTGCACCATTGTGGAATGTTTTCAGTCAGCACAAGGTGCAAATGCGAGACCTCCTGGTTAGTAGATAATCTCCTGGCTTGGATTCAATTTGATCAAAAAGAGGACCATTAAAAGAGATTTTACCTAACACTGCAGAGAATGTTGAATGTTATGAAATTCTTAAATCATAGTAAAAAATCCCCGGTAACAAACTTATTAACAAGACTGTGTGAATATTAAATGGATTTGTTACCGGGGATTTTTTACTATGATTTATCTACAAGGAATGATTCCTGTTTTTCCTTGGATGCATCAGTGAGATGCAAACTTGCGTACACTGTTATTGGGACTCTTCCACCCTTCTTTTCATATCATGTGTGAGGTTTTATTGTCTTCTTCTTGAAATTCTTAATTCATTATATCTTTGTGAATACCGAACAGAATTCAACCATCTTTGGATTCGTATTACTTTGAGATTCAACTTTCACAATATTGTTGTTTACAAGGGATTCAAAATCCTTCGATGGATGATTAGTGACTTTAAATAAATAGCAATTTGTGACCCACCCCGGCTAAAGGATCTGCATGTCGCACAGCATAGTATTTCAGTGTGGGACAAAAATTTATTTTGAGCTTTTGGGACATGAACCTTGATTCAAGTGATGTATTTTTGAAGAAATCTCAAATTCACAATTTTCATCCCACAGCACCTCTACACAAAGTACTGAAATACATGTATGATGGGGGGGACATGCGGATCCTTTATCCAGAGTGGGTCACATTTAAATAAACACTAAATGTTTAACATGGGGGGAGTTTTGTCTGATTTTTACAATAAAATACCTGATGGTGGTGCCTTGGCCGCTTGTTCTTCTAAAGCATCAAAACAAACAAAGCCCATCTCATCATCATCTTTATTTTTACTTGAAGAATCTTTTGTAGACTTGATACTATTGTTACATGCTGTGGTATTAGAGACAGGTGTGGCTGATGTAGCGCCATTATTAGCTTGTTGAATATTGTTATCAGTTGCAGATTTCTCTGGTGCGGTTTTCTTTAGTGAGGCATCAAAATCAGGATGTGTTTCTAATGCAGCCATTTCTGTAAGACAATAACGTAAGGAGAGAAATGAAATAGGGTTTAAAGTCCTACTGTTCCGCTCCGACTGGGCTAATAAAGACGGAACCTAAAGAGATGCAGTACATTATACCTGTTTTAAAATATATATATATATATATTGAATTTCAGTATTATTTTCAAGAAGCTTACTCAGTAATCCAGCTAGAAATGCTAGAAGATAGATAATACAAACCCGCCCAACCCTTTTTTTGGGGGGTGGGGTGGGGGCCAATATACTCTGTAGACTAATTATAACATGATATATTGATTTTTGATGTAGAGTATATTTTAGCAGTTATACTTACCGACCATAAATTCTCGTATTGTTTTAGATAATTTTTTATTAATTGATTCCTTCCCCTGCTGTTTAGCTAAACTAGCCTGTTCTTTAGCATCTTCAAGTTTTTCTTGTAATGATATATACTTTGGATTCTAAAAAATTACAAAATAAATTCTTCAATATTTCCATCAAAACACTGCAAATAAGGAATATTCGAATGATTTCTAAAATCAAACCATAAAAGATAGAAATTAAATATTGTATTAGTTTTATCCATTCACAGTTTATTAATCTATAGGCAAGATTTTAAAATTGATCCTTTTGGTTTATTTGCTCTAAATTGTATGAACTTTAAAAAATTTTTTTAATTAATTTCAGATAACCTCAAAATAAAAATAACCCTAGACTCAGCTAATCACCGAAAATTGAATAATGGTTTTGTACGGTATTGCTGAAATTTAGAAAATCACCATAAGCTAAAAGATGTCCATCTCAAATGGAATCTTAAAACGACCATAACTGTAGTGATTTCTTGGCAGATATGTCTCAGATTTTGCATGTGATCCAATTTAAACACCCCGGTTATAAACATATTGTTAAATAATGCCAAATCAAAGACAATTTTTATACTGGCCGGAAAAGATCTTAAAAAAGTTCTAAAGTCTCTTTAAATTTGAGATCTAGTTGGCATTGTAGCAAACGAACTACATCAATCTCGCTAGAGATCCTGCTTATTATTAATAATATTAAGTTACCTGCTCTGCTTTCAGCAGTAGTGTACAAAGTAATAGACAAAGTCTTCACAAGCCAAGATTTGTTAAAATAATCTAACATTATCAAAACAAACCATACTCAGCCCAGCTTGTGGGAGCAGACATTTAAAATATCTTACAGGGTTAAATACTTTAGGACCATCTTCGCCTTCTGATTCTGAAGAACTCTGTTCTGCGTATTGTAATATCCAATTCTTCATTCCACCTCCTTTATTCTGGGTTGGTGATTTGTTTTTATTTTTCCCCTGTAAAGATTAGTAAATTACAATTACAAGTTGAGGTCACAAATGACTGAATCGGGTCATGAACACTGATTCCGATCATAAATGTCCAAATGTTTGCCCTGTTCAAAAGCTTTTCATTCCCCATTTTTAAGTTTTGAAGAACTAAAAGTAATTTTTGTTTGACTTAACAGGTAGGATCCCCCAAATGATTACAAATCTTTTGTTGCAAAGCATATAATGTCTTTTTCCAAATAGGTTTGCTGCAATCACAAATCATTTCTGAATGTACTGACCTTTTTCTTTTTTTTAGTTGGTGATTTATTTTGAGAATCCGCTCCTCCTTCAGCGACGCTCGTTTTCTGTACTTGAAGAGATTGATCAAACTGTGGTCTTCTTTTCTTCTCTTCTTCTCGTAATAATGTTTCAGAGAAACCTGTTGGCAGTTGATCTGTTAATATATGAACAATATTCAAAGGTAGGGATTCCCAAGCAGCATGACTATTATTGAACCGAAAGTGGTTTAATCCAGAAAGCGCTTCTAGGTTGCAGCTCTTCATCAACAGCACCTGACATTCTTTATGGTATTTCTAGCCAGCAGTTAATTAATCAAGTCTTGGATTTAATATTATTTACTACTAGCTTGATACCCGGCTTTGCCCCAGGTCCGAGATCTGCTTACTCGCCCCTTTCTTGAACGCTTATCCGCTAGCTTACATCATCCATTACTATTATTAAAGTTAATTAGAATAATAAACAGAGTTATCTCCTGTTAAACTTTAATTGCAGTCATGGGCATGGATTTAGGGGGGACGTTCCCCCCTTTAGTAAACTGTTCATAATTATTATTTTGGTTTTGTAATGAAATGTTCCAGGTTTCAGGGTTCGTCCGTCCCCCCACCCATAAAAGTTATGACAAATCCACGCCCTTGAGGGCAATTTTGCCCAAAAACAAGCATTTCTGCCTATTCTTCGTCAAATTTCAACTGTCAATGGTTCTTTTATGTGCAGGGGACCTCGATTTGTCATCCCATCCAAATGACCAGACCTTGTTCCTTGCCAGGCCCTCCATCCTGCACCACTGACATTCGGAAGATAAGATGAAAATAATAAAATAGAATCTCACCATTAGGTATATTTAAACAGAGCCAATCAAGAGCTGTAATAAGATCACCACCTTTCATGATAGTATTATTCATAGCATTCTCTATCTGTTTCTGTTGAAATCCTGCTCCTGATAAACTATTATATACATCCTGTAATACATCACATTTATATTAAGGGCGTTGAGTAGTCTAAGATACTCACACACTTTTCAGCACCAATCTTATTAACACTTTGCATACTTGTTCCATGTGTAAAATAACCCAGAGGATACAGAACACTCTGACCATTTATTGTGTAATAATGGAGATGCAAGCGGAAAAAAAAAACTATCTATAGCAAACGAGACAGTTTCCCTGACCTAGATCAGTTCTTGAATAAATTATGATGTCGTACACATCGGTCGCGTTATTCGCAGTAAACAATCATGGCTGTCTCCAACAACAGTTTCACACTGGACCATTGATGTCTATCTATATATGACGTAAGAAGGAATTCCCTCTAAAATGGAATTATCCAGGTCTACCATCTATCACGACTGCAACATCGCTGAATTTCTTTTTATTGATGGTCGAAGACTACCATTTTTGGATGTATAAAATGATTTTGAGCAGGGTAGTGTAGTGCACTGAAGTAAATATTTACTTTTACATCTGAATTGTTGTATTTTAAAACTTGTTGTGGATGCATTCAAAGAATTTACCAAAAATTACAAAATCTCGTTTGAAGGTAAATTGTCAACAAATATTTTAAAATACTTTGAGTTGATATACTATAACGTTTTTTGTGTCAAAATGTCAATAATGAAATCTACTTTCGATCTAAGGGAAGGATTTTCAATATCTCTTTTTAGCAAGTACAAATAGTATTTCCAAAAATATTCATGGCATTTCATTCATGGGTTTCTTGGACTTGGAATTACGTTATCATTGTTGATGCCAAATTTGATGGAAATCCATGCAGGTATAACTGAGAAAATTAGATTTTTGTTGTCATCAGCACCCTTTATTATCATGCTTTTTGGCCAAGTTTGGAACATAGTTGGTAAATAAAATTGGCATTTTTTGGTGAATAATATGTAGTTTATCACCCCAAATAACAAAAATGACATATCTTATGAAAAAAACTTACAGTGTTAGCTTTAAAATGTACATTTTAGATTGCTGAATGTCCTAAACTTTATACTAGGCTATCAAACTAGCTAGAATGTCCTATTTTTAAATCCTGGTTTGGACTGAGAACAATCTGATTAAAACACAGATCCTATTTCATTTTGTTGTTTATAGTTACAAATTTCGTTGTAGTTGGCTTCATTACACTAGTATCTGGAAGAGTTTTTAAATAACCTGAGTTCTGGATCATGTCAGGGATTAGTCAATCAAATTGTCTGTTAAATAAGGTTCGCAGTAATACAAAACATAACAAAGCATAATAAACATATTTCCTAATAGCCACTTATTGCAATTGGTTAATCAAATGTCTGATGTCATTGGGTCTAAAGGCCATCAAAAGGTATAAAAGAAAAACGAAATATAAATTAGAAATTTATGTTGTTGTTAGTTAGAAGCGGACGTAAAATACAACTAACTAACAACAACATAAATTTCTATTTTAATCAGATTGGCTAAGAAGAATGGTTATCAAGATTGGATTGACAAAATAATTTGTATTTTTCATTAATGATTTTCAACAATTATTATGATAAAAAGATCATTAATAATATTCAATAATTAGAATGATAAAAAGTTCAGTTCATTAATGATATTCAACAATTTCATAAAGGCTATAAATCAATTATAAAGGCTCATTAATCATTACAACTTATTTAGGCTTTCTACTTTTAAGAAGTAAAAGGCAAAACATATAAGAATATTGAGCAGAATTTAAAATGATGAGCATTGTATCAATTGAGATTAATAAAGTGTTGTAACTCTTACATACGGTTCATATGGTACAACATTTATAGCAAAGTTCTACAAAAGAAATGACTCTAATCCTACAAACAAATCTAAAGTCTTCAAACTTACTGCAAGTTTTCTAGATGTGAGCCGCCGGGATAGTTCACCATATGATTTTGAATGTTGTGTTTCATCTTGGATTAGATTCAGAATGTCAGTCTCTAATTTCTTCTGTATACTAACCTAAATTTAAACAAATTCTTTTCATTTAGTCATCATAGCATATTATAATGATCAAAGAAATCACATTTAAACATGTTGAAGACACTATTTAACGCCATTAGTCAAACTCTATAACTACAGAAACCGACAGACGATGATGACATCATGCATTGTCAACTGTCAGATTTCCTTCCTGGCAAACTCCTCCTGCAAAAATTCCTAGATACCCCCCCCCCCTACTTGGTAGTCTAGTACATCGGGTCTTTTCATCAGTTTACTAAAAGTTCCATTATGATGATTATTTTTACTTTAAAGGTTATATAAACTATATGATTTACACATTTATTAACAGAACAACACCATCGGATGGCTCAGATTTAAATGGATTGAAATATGATCGCCATTTAATAATTTAATTTATAAGCTAGACTTAGTCTTGATTGTCAAGTAGATAGTTACGAAACTATCTATGTAGGGCATACATCTTCAAACACTGATATGTTTGCTCAGAATAAGGTAATTTGAATGAAATTTTCAGTACATTTAATTTTCCTTATCTATTTTTGAACTATTATTGCAAGAACAGTCATTTCTTTTTATCTAAATCTTAAATACATGTAATGTAATGCATCTTTATGGGTTGATACAGCAGCCTACCTTCATATGATCTTCAGCTTGTTCAACTGTATCAGTGAGTACACTGGAATTCTCGGATTTGTAGGTCTTTGGAACAACTGTAAAACAGATTCAAAGTGTATCGATCATTGAATTTGTGTTCATTTATATTTATTTCTTGCCAATATATGTTTCAATTTATTAATTTAACGAAAAAATCTCCCCTCTTGTCTGTGGGCACGATTAACATCAAATCAATAACGACAAAAATAAAAACATTTTGGAAAAATACATAAATACCATCAGACATTAATATCAGTTAATCATAAATTATTATGCTAGCATTTTTATTGTATTGACATTAATTATCAGCGATCATATGTCAGATTTTTCTTTGTTTTTGTAATCTGCAGAATTCTAAATTTCAACGTTTTACCATCAGGTTTTGCCGATTTTTTATTTTTTGACGCCATGCTTTATGTTGTTTGTTACTTGCAAGTATGTGGCAACATCTGAAATTTCTACATCAAACAAAATTCAATATATAAGCCCGTTTTTGAGATGTCACAACAACAAAATACACGTGTCGGCTAACAACCGGAAGTTTACTTCGCACCTCAGAGCTGTGCATGCGCACACGTTTGACACTCTACTTTCGGTTCTAAAAATTAAGAAAGCGCTAGCTGTCACCCTGGGGACTTATTCACGAAATTTTAACTAAGATAAAATAAAATTTTTAGTTATTTGATTGGATAATATTAGATTGATTTTAGTGCTTAGCCAATCAAAACTGAAGTATCTACTAAAATTTGGATTTTATCTTTAGTTAAGATTTCGTGAATCAGGGCCCAGATGTAAGGCACAGATAAAATGAAGGGTGTGCCCGGGCCCGCTGCTATTCTTAAACTTTTGGTCAAAAACTATTACATAAAACCATATTTTTTACATTTTATAATTGGTTAACTACTGTTGTAAAAACACCTAAACTCCAAAATATGAAGCCACTCACCTGGGCAAAAGTGTTTTGATTTATTTTTATTTATGCCGCAGAGCTCAGCGAAATCCGTTTCTTTGTAAATTAACGGGTGTATTGTCGGACCGGACAAAATCTTTAAAAACAATTTTTAATATACACGCATTAGTAGGCCTAACTGATTTAATTAATCAAAATAATGTTTTTTGTTGATCACCAAACATTTTGACCATATACAGAAAATTTGACACAGATTCAGTAATCTACGAGAACGTAGCCAAAAACGTTGAGATATACTGATGGGCTTGTTTTTGGCTACGATTGTATGCCTTTAGTTTCACCCTGCAGACTTAAATTCTTTATTAATGCATGTAACATCTTAAAAATAAGTTAATTTTATACTATTATACTGTAGCAGATTATAGCGGAGGCGCTCTCCGACACGAATTAATTTCTTATTGAAATCTCAAACAATAAAACTGAAAGAAAACACCGAATTGGAGGAAATTTGATATGAACCCCCTGATCGGAGCCCCCCAATACAATAAAAGGGCCCCAAGTCCAAGAAAAGGTGCAGGTTTGTTTTTTGGGGGTTAAATGTTAATGTTTGGTGCACTTACTATTTTTTTGCGACAGCATTCTTCTCCGCTCTAGCGTGAATCGCGCATCACTTGCGTTACACTATATAGGGAGCCGCGGTGGCTCGGTTAGTAAGACACTGGCTCCCTAAACTGGATGTCGCGTGTTCGATCCCGTTATTGACCGAAAAGGATCATCGGGATTTTGTACCGGCGTGGTTACCCTATATCAGTTTTGCAGGATGGATCAAAGCACTTGAACAGAACTGTTTGAATTAAGTTCGCGGAAACTACTTGGAATCCTAATTATGATGTCGCTTTCCCGAACAAGGGCGAACTATACTACTTATGAAATATGCGAGACAAGATTTATTTGGATATCAAGTGAGTAAATAAGATTATATCTATACTACTTGTTATATATCCGTATCCTATAGTTATATCTATATCCGGTTCTTTTATGTGCATGCCCCGGTACATGGAACCACTTTTTTGTTCCATCCGAACGACCAGACCCCCCCCCCCCCGTCCTGCACCACACACAAGAGAAAACTACACTGGGGAATCCTGGAGAACTTTCTCGGTCAACATTGGGATCGAACCCCGGACCTTCTGTTAGCGAGCCAGCGCCTTTGAACCTCCTCCAGAGAGCCTGGCAACAAGGAACAATGCATAGTCTTTTGGATGGTACGAAAAACCAAGGCCCCGTGTACACATGCATGTAAAATACCCTGTAATTGGCAGCTGGAATTAGATATAGGAGTAGTCCGTAGGTCCCGTGTACACATTGGCGAGCAACTCAACGAACTCTTTACAGTTGAAATTTCATATAAGAGATGTCACGGTGCCACTGTCCCTGCAAAATAAATTATTGCCATCATAGCACGCTGTATGGTATGGGGTATATGCCAGTCTTTATTAGCCCAGTCGAAGCAGAACAGTAGGACGTTAAACCCCATTTCATTTCTTTTCAATGCGTTCCATTTCATTTCAATACGTTCCAGAGATCCGGATTAAGATTTTATCGGCCCCTGGGTTACAGATAATATTTTCAAAAATGATTATTAGAACTGAAACATTTGTTTTAAGTAATTTCCTTCAAACATGGTTGAGAGATAAGGTTTCTTATCTAATTCCATCCGTGCCCCCCAACATTATACACTGTTCGAAAGTTGAATCTTTTAGCCTGCGTCAAAACACGCACATGTTACCTTTCTACGAGGAAAGTAAAATGGAGTAACTAAAAAAGCTAATCTATTGTACTATATTTATACTACCAATACCAACAGGCTAAAACAAATGAAATGAAATGGGGTTTGACGTTTTGAGCACAGGCCTACTCTTCACCGAATTTCAATAATTGTCCGGGGTTCATTTACATTCACACGATCTCGGATTTTCGCCCTTCCTACTAGATTAGGCGCTCCTAAACAATAAGTTACATTACGATACTTCAATGATTTTTCATTTTAATTTCTGGAACTATTTCATTCTTTAATTATCTAAATTGTCATTATTTGTGAATAGTCGCTCAAAAGAGGATAGTACTGATTTTGGCTTTTACCACCAAAAATAATTATACACAAACAACATATATTCACTTTAATTGGAGGATTAAATAAAATTTGGCCAAGCGGTTACTTCGCATGTCTTTTGTTGATATTATGAATATTATTTTAGTCTGAAAACTGCACATTACAAATTACAAAATAATACATAATTTTCATATATCACTCATATTGAGAAATTGCAACACAGAGATAGAAATATTGCAACATATCGCAATACAATTATAGGCTTCAATACTACGTCTCAATAACCATTCAGACTGAACACGCCGAATCCGCCAATGGTAGAAGCGAAGGCCTGGCTTTTCCATGATATTAATGTTACAATAGCAAGTGAAAAAGATTATTAACTTTAAAGGAGCTAAATTGCTAATATTTGGGACATAGGAATTTACACAAATGAGTCGCAACGCATATACTAATGTAAATGTAGATTTACACTCAATCATTTCCGTTTTTACTATAAATACGCCTGAAGTCTCAATCGAATGGCAATCTCTAGCGTCTGGTTATTCCAATCTACACCAATAGTATTTATTGTGCATGCTCTCCGGATAAGAATATGACGTGACCGTTTGACATGACTTGTGGAATATGTCTATAGCCCTATTCTTTGAGTCCCTTGTTACAAATGGCGCTGAAATTCATTATGGTACACGGTTCATGTACCAATGGTAAAATGTTTATTTTGTCTTAAATTGAATATCGGAAGCCCATCTTTTCTCGTTAAGATCACAAATAATTCGTGTTTTCAATATCCAAGAATTTGGATGATATTAAGTTAGCTACTTTAATACTACATGGCCCATTTACTTATATAACTCATATTCTATGCCTATTATGTGTTTTTGTTAGTACATGCAGGTCCGAAAATGTACGCTTTTAAAATTAATCACGACACCGTCATGAATAGAATATCACCCTTATTCAAAGCTCACCGATATTATTTCCTAGATTACGTGAGCAACTCGACAGCGACACTTTATAATATTTTTACATGTTTTCTGTATTTTAAATATTTAACCTTTTGTATTATTTGTGAGAGAGAGAGAGAGAGAAATGGGGTTTAACGTCCACTCGACACAAAATAGGTCATTTCGGGACTAACATATGGTTTAATTTTATTTACATAATTCGCTTGCGCGTAGGGGTCTTTAGCAGTGGGAGGAAACCGGGGGACCCAGAGAAAACCCACAAGGTTGGACAGGCGACCCTACTCCTTTCCACGTACAACCGGGGATTCGAAACCACGCCAGTCGACTCAATGACAGACTTTATGATACAGCGCGCACACACTAACCATTCAGCCATCCAACCCCCCTGTATTATTTGTATAACAAATTTAATTTTGATCTGTTACGTAGTAACACCACAACCTTTTTTATTGACTTAGTCATTAACTTGCTCAAGTTTATTATTTGTCGATGCACAGGCAGGTGAACTGCCGAGTATACAATCATGTTACTGCTAGATAAGCAGATTCTGGATTTACAACCAATAATAAAGACAAAGATTTAACTGGAAATATAGTTAAAACACACAAAACACGACTGGTGAGTCTTCAAATGAAATAACTAACCCTATGAGAATGTGGCATTTAAGTGCAATTAGTAAACTTGAAGATAAATGTATAAGAGTGTGTAATAATTTGACTTTACCTGATCTCTGTAAATGGTTTCTCCAAGAATATCACGATAAAGATAAGAGGGTACTTTTCGAAAGTTTCCTATAAAAATGGATTCATTTATATAATTTAAACCAGCGGTTCTTAACCGGAGGTACGGATGCGAGGATATATTATGAAAGCTCAAGGGGTATAAAAAGGTTAAAAACACTGATTTAAACCGTTGGAGTTCAACACATTTTGGACCGGACTTAATATTGAGACAATAAGGGTTTTGGGCAAATCCGCATTTCACGCTGCTTCTACCAGTTAGTTATGTTAGCCTCTAGAGCCGGACGGACGGACAGGGGCGACGGCAAAATACGATCACATTTTAAAAAGCAATGACCTGGTTAATTCTTTGTTTTGGTTTTCAAAGGAAAAAAATCCGCTAAATATTTCTTTATTCACAAATATTCATTAACAATCAACAGTGTATATATTTTTTATAATATTGTTCGTTCCTGTCTCAAAATTCTATACATATTTATTGTTGTTGCAATAGATTAGTTAGAATGAAAATAAACTATTCAATTTTAATACAAAATAAATTGCAGTATTCACAGACGTTCACTTCAAACTATTGGGTGTACAATATTGGTCCAGGTTTTAAATCCAGTGAAAAGAATTCTATGAATTGAATGTAAGAATGTAGTGTATTGGCAACAAGTTAAAGCTCACTGGCCGAACAGCGAGAGAAAATGTGTGCATTCTTTTCAATGTATCTAACAACCAACAAACAAATATACCTACACCCATAGTTTTTCGTTTCTTAATCCCTTCTGTCCTTGAAAATACTACAAGATCGATTCAATATGTTTAAATTTACAGTAGTTTGTTGAGAGCATGATATAAATCTTGGTGAACCCATCGTTACATAATTGAACTAATGAAATAAGACACATTTTTATATCAAGTTAATACACTTATATCGATGTTTTTATTTTATTGTATCGCCGGGGTTATTGGTCCGATGACGATGCCTTTTGTTTTGGCTACTTCGTCGACTACTTGAATCGGAATGGGCGTTAGTCATGATTATAGCGATATACATCATCGGACAACCAAACGCATAATGCGAAGATTGTGATAGACCATTATATTTTCAAAAGTAACATTTCACCTCTACAGTCTCTAAAATAATAGAAAATAACTGAAACTTGTGTAATAAAATACAAAAATTTAAAAGGTGAGATATACAAACAAAAGTAGACAAGAAATAAATAAATGATTCCATGATTCAATTCAATGCCAGTCTCGGTGTCAACTGTAGCCTATTCCATCCCAAGAACTTAATTGCATGTTTTAGCACAAAACCGATTTTGAAATTTGCAGATAGTTTCCGAATACATTAGAGTTCACAAGAATTCACCATTCTCACCACACGAATTTGGTCGCGTACGGTAAGCAGCAATTTTGTTTTCGATTTAGTGGCCATTATTCTATCAGATTTAATGCTGACAGTAACTGATTTATAGTCAATCATTTTTTCTCTCGTTATGGGGTTTAACAACCTACTGTTTTGCTCCAACCGGTCTAATGAAGACGGGCATACTATACGCAATGTGGTGTGCTATAAGGGAAATTTTGACTGGACAAAAACTGAATTCCAACTGTCAATGCAAAGTATACAGGGACCTCTGTTTTTACCAACAGGGAGAAAATCAGTCTCAATAATTGACCCCTCTAAAAACACAAAACACTATTCTTGCTTAGCAACAGTAGCAGGTCATAGACTGACATTATGTTTGTGAATTGAATATTTACATAAATGCGTTCTATTCATAGTCATGATGCTGCCAAAGTCAAGCCACCATTTTACATAATAAATAGTATTCACATACTTACATAATGTAATGACCTAAGATTATCACTTGTTATTTACAGAGTTTAGTATATATGTGTATAATAAATAAGATATTAAAATGTTAATGGTATGGTTGTTTTGTTTTTAAATTTTGATAAATACAAAATAAAATATTGCAGTTTTTGCTAGGGTCGTGGAAATATACAAGCCTACCTATATATAAGGCTTTTTAATACTTGGTGACATACATGTATATTTTTCTCCATTTTTGTTTAAAACATACATTGAGCCAAATTAAACCCTAATTACTACTTGCTTATGTCAAATTTAAAATTGCACAACTTCTCCATGATATGGCTGTATGGTATAATATCTAATAAATAACAATTTAAAGCTATATTCATTCAAGGAATAACTAAGCAATCTATTGATATCCCTTGATATGATATTTCTCAAGAACAGGAAAAATAAATTGGTTAACAAGCATACAATAAACAGAATAACATTTCAATTCTCACTTTGACAATTATTCATTGGCTGCTCATCAGATCAGGTAGAAGGCAAGGTGTCAGTTGGACATTTGCATATGCCTGCACCCGGCCATTCATGAAATGATTTGTCACAACCCTTAGGCATAAGGTCACATATTTTTAGAATGAATATTAAATGTATAAATTTCAGTAAAAAATCCCAGAATCTGTGTATGAAATCAAACACGTGCCCCTGTCTTAAAAACAAAGCAGGTAAAGACTGCTACTGTTTTCTCAAACCTTTAGTGTAATAATAATAATAATGGCACATAATACATGTACATTTTTCTTGACAAAATATTTGTGTAATAATGTCTACCAATTAAATGAACATCTTATAAATAAATAATCATAACAAGGTCAAATATAATAATCGTTAACCTATTTATGATAGTATAATGATAAGATGTTGAAGTAAATAAACTCTATTATCAAAACAACCACACACAAATTACATGTAGACTATAATGTAGACACTTACTCCATACCTATAAATACAGAATAATAAAGGTATACATGTAGCATACCATAGTCAGTGTTGTATTCCATTAATTTTCAATTCAACTAAATGTCCCACTTAAAAATTTACTGTATGTATTATTACTATGCCAACCATGTAAATTCGAAGTTATCCCCTCAATGTAAGTCGACTTGCAATAAGACCACACTGTAAAAACAAGAAATCAATTTTTGCATTTTAAAGGGTGTATGGCTGTATTTTTTAAAACTATAAATGGCTCTAAAAGCACATATTAATGTAATGAGTGTATATAAAGTGATTTATATTCAATTTATAAAAAAAAAAACTGTAACTTCTAAACAATTATGTTCGGTGAAATATATAAACTCCCAAACTGAAAATGACAGTCGCTTGCGCCTGCTTCCTTCATTCTAAACATTTTTTTATTATTATTTTATCATTTGTGAATCAGCCATTACTATTTACTGTCGCATTGTAATTTAGGATATGTTTTTCTTTGTTCATTGATTTTTTTGAATCCGAAACCATATTTTAAAACATTCAGTGTGTCTTAAATATTGGATATTAGGATCCCACATTTTCACGCCAACATAACAACATCAATATGGATTGAAATGGACCAATATTGAATTCTAATTTGTGTTTTTAATTCGAAATATTAAGGAAATATTGAGTTAGAGACTTAGCTCCTTTAATAATGCCAAAAATGTAAATCTTAATGGATGTTCAATTCAATTTTGACCCACAATTTGTCCGATTAATTACATGTTTCTATCACTTCATGGCACACAAATCTTCCATTTACAGTGTTGCGCAATAATCACATCAGATTAGTTAATTGTGATTTATGCAAACAAGTATTTACAGATAAATATATACACCATATTTCTTTACAAACTTATATCCAATCAAAAACATAAAATATATCTTAAATAATAACATAGATCAAAAACCACTTACATAACAAAACTTAACAACACAAGCCTTTCTACAAATAACAGGGAAATCTATTTTTTAAAATAATAATTGAACAGAAACTCAAATTTCAAACAATTAAAACACAAGGTTCAATTTCAGTTCAGATAAACTCAGGGATAAAGTTCAAATTTTTGAATAAAATTCTATTATTTTTAGTAGGGGCTGGACAACTGTGAATTTCTGTGTAGGTGCCAATGCCAATTTTAACTAATATGTACCGGTACATGTATTCAGTTATTTTAATTTTGTCATTATTTGTGACAAAAAAGCAAAATGTAAACACTATCTGAAGATACTCCTATTAAAATTTAGTACACACTTGGTTCACAACACATCATATATGTAAAAACTCATTTAATCAAACCATTCATCATTGTTATCACAGAAACTGATATTAACAGTTAATGAATGAATAAAGTTTGTTGTTTCCATTATTATTTTTACAAAAAACGTTTGAAACATACTCCTGTATAAAAATATATCTACATATTCCCAAGATGTATGAATAAACATGATCCAAGTCAGTTTAAACCAATGACTATTCGGTTACCTGTTCTATTGTAAATTAAATAGGTAACGTCATTATAGTCAAATAAAATTCCACACAAATCATGAAAACACTATTTCAACCACAAGAAAATGCCCTTTCGATAAATCACTGGTATAAATAACACAAAACATTTCGACCAAATGACCACATTCTACAGCGAAACAACAGTATTTTCAGAATTCAATTATAATATATTGGCACTAATCTTTCTGGACCTCTTGCGTGAAAAAAAAATCTGGCTACGTTAAACACAACAATTTTCTTGTACTTTTTTCTCTTTTTAATAAAATCCTTTATTGTCAAAGTACTTTTAACAAGATATATTTAATAGTTAAATGATCACAAATGATATGGTTTGTAGTTGCATTTATTTTTTAACTAACGGCTGCATCTTCTTTTTCTGAATTATCACATTGATCAATTTCTCCGTCTGCTAGATGAGTAGTTGTTTCGTCAGCACTTCCATCGACATGTGTCTCTTCTGTACACGACTGAGTAGCTTCCACCCAACTCTGTATTCTATCTTTATCAATGATTTTATGGGGTGTTGGATTGTGTCGTTCTGTATACTTGTCTAACAACAGCGTAGGACTACCATCGCGTAAAGTCTTGGAGGAATGTGTAGACATGGCTTCACTGTTTTCGATTGTGCGCGATGAATGTTGTGAAAGGATTTCAACACTAAGGTCATAGCTGCCATAATGTATTGAGTCAATATGTGGTAATTCCTCTATGTTATCGGGATCATCCTCAGGATCTTCTTCATCCTTTTTAAAACTGTTTGAATATTTGGGTTTATTGGTTGGTTCAGTTGCTTCAGCAAAGTCTTCAGTATCAGCTTCATTTCCAGCATCAAGTTCATATATTGCAGCAGATTTCTCATTGATTACCGAGGATTTGATTCCTTTCAATGCACCTCTCCCAGTTTTAGACACCTCAAACCCTTTACTATCAGTTTCAGGTTCAGAATAAGGGTAGTTTTCAGAAATTGGTTCGGAAAGAATACTGCTTGTAAAGGATATAGCACTGCAACCTGATGGTGTTCTGGAATGACCCATATGAGCAAACAAAGTAGGGACATTAGCAGGACCCATCCGGTTATTGGGATTCTCTTGTAAGTCCTTTTCGACAACTGATACCATTTCTTTGTAACTGTCTGTAGCCTTCTGAGTCAGTTCAATCAGACGCCAAAATTGTTTTTCGGACCCTTCATAGTTGAACACACCCACAACGCTAACTGGAACAAGTTTGGCACAAGCACGACCAAGTGCCCTACGACCAAGAGCGAACACATAAGGTACTTCTTGTTCAGTACACATGTTTAGTATATTATTTAATGCATCGTCCAAGCCACCTTTGGACTGTATTTTTTCTAAATTTGGTGAGATAATTACACATTTGATCTTCATCAATTTCAAATGTTTTGTGACCTCTCTCAATCCAAGGACAATTCTTCGCTTCGTTTTTGCCTTTTTGGGGTCTTTGTGATATTGTTTGTCTTGGTAACGTACCAAATTCTGAAGAAATTGTAGACAACAATTATCAATGTCTTTATCTAGAATTTGTGTACAGTATTCACGATATCTTCTACTGTGGATTTTTAACAGGGCAGGATTAGAACTATCTTTAGCAATGGGACTGTTAAATCCTGAATGCAAGGGACTGGCACTTGGCGATAAGGGACTCATACTAAAAGGCGAAGTTTGGCTTATAGGAGAAAGCTCAGCACTAGCAGATCCTTTGGTCCTCTCTTCTCCGTCTTGTGAAAGGTCACTTTCAGTATTAACAACACCAACACATACTTGACTTCCACCTGAAGCCACTTCAGGGTCTTCATCTAATAATCTTAGTTTCTTTTTCTGCTCCCTTTCCTTCAGAATAACCTTCTTCAAAGGACTTGGTTTCTTGGGTTTAGGAAATTCTCTTTCCTTTCCTCTTTTAACAGTTGGACAGGTTGAATCTAGTGGATTATGTGGGCGTCGAGGAGGTTCTATTTCTGCTGGCTTGACTTTCTTGCGTATTGCTGGTTTTTTTGGTGCATTTTTGGTTGTTTCAGCATCATCTCTCCTTTGTTCTAAGGCATCTATCATAGCAGCAAAGTCTAAGGCAATTGGCTGATTAGATTTTCTATTGTTTTTGTTAGATTTTGTTTTAGCGGGAACAGATGGAACAACTTCTTTAACTGATGGCTGCTCTTGTTTTGACTTTAGACCAAGTTCCTGGAGCATCTGCTGTTCAATAGTTATTTCAGCCATCTCATCCTTTGCGGCTTTGTTAGCTTGATCTTGTCGTTTTCTACGTTTTCTAGCACTTTTGGTTTCCCCAGCTTGTTTAAATGCTAGTAAATTGCCATTTTGTGGATCAAAATCAACATTTTCGACCTCAACCAAGTTTTCTTTTTCAGAATTAACTACACCATTCTGAGTTTCAGTCGTACATGTGTCTTTGATGGCTTGTTCTAATTTATGAGAAGTATTAATTGCGTGTGGATTAGATCTATTTAAAGTAGTCCGTTTTTTGCCAGAAAGATCAGGAAATTCAAATTCATCTTCCAAATGAATATTTACTTCAACACTTTCAACACTGTCAATAACTTCTTCATTGGTACTAGCAGTGTTTTGTTTCTTTTTTTTACGATTTCGTTTTCGTTTCTTTTTAGTTGTTCCAACATTTTCAGTTGATTTACCATCTCCATCACTTGATAAATTGGCTTCATTTGTAATTTTATTTTCAAGCTTAGGAATGGTAGGTTTTTGAGCCATCATACTGTAAGATACAGTCTCTTTCAAGGGGTCTTTAGTTGGTTGAGACAACGGATGAGTTCCACTCGATATCACATTCTTATGCATTGAATGATCTTGCTGACAGTTTAGTCCTCCATCACTATTAATTGAATTCTTCTTTCTTGGCCCTTCTTTCTTCACATTTTTCTCTGGCAAAAATAGGGTATTCGGTAACTCTTTCAAGTGTAAATCTGCTATTTCCTTTGGAAAATCAGTTTGACACTGACTATCTTTCATTTTTATTTTAACAGGTACTTTGATATCAGTCTCACGTTTCAAATTTGAACTAGGGGCAATTGCTGTCTGTTCACTTACACGTCTCACATTATTTCCTCTTTGTTGAAAGCCGTTGAACGTCCGGGTGTCATTCCACGGCTGTGGTACTGGCAGCAAACCAGCCACAGCAGGGCGTGTAAAATTGTTGTTGACAACTGGAGTAGAAATGTTCTTATGTTTAACATAAGCTGGTATACCTGCATATGACATCGGTGTAAATGGATATTTCAAGTGATCCATGTTTCCTTCATAGTAAATACGGCGTTACTACCAAATACTGTCGTTGTCACTACCACAGCGTTGCGAAACGAATGACAATTCAATGTTTGCTACGTAATCTTAGCCCAGGCAGCCATGTTGATTTTCACCCGGAAGTTACAGAAAAGTGACCAATTATCCAGACTTCTACCATAAAAAGCAGACTAAAGAGAGCTGATAATTTATAATGAGTGGATGGATGAAGGGTGAACCTGCTTCATAAACGAAATAGCCGCATTTGCTACTTGCAGATGCGCTATGAAAAAAACCCTGCAAATATAAGCGATTGACGCAAAAGGCTGAATAATCGTGTCACACACTTAAATGGATTAGTCTCCCTTTATCCACTATGAAACCACATTCGATAGATCATTGGGACCATTAAGATAATACCGTAGGCCCACTTAATTATCTATAGTGGGACACAGACATTTTGTAAAACCCAGGGTTGTCTTAGAATTAGCCATACCGTAAAACATCGATTTCCACATTGTAAACACATCTTCCAAAGTGTCTATCTTATGATTCGTAGCCTACTATATTACATTTACGGGCAGACTCAACACTCAATTGTCCACAATATATCTCTATATATGAGTATCGGTAGCTATGAAATAATTTAAAAACCTGATTTGGATATATAGTAGAATAGTTAATTAAAGCTGCTCTTTGGTAATATATAATTGAAATTAAATATGGCAAAATAAAACTACATTTTTATGCTAACGTTTTCACTGCGATAGCGGCTCTTCAGGCATTTATTAAACAATAATATATATATATATTATGAGAAGGTTTAGAGTCTGTACACAGTCTATACATCAGTATCTGGTTAGTCCGCCGCGAGTGTCAATAACGGCAGCGCAGCGTCTGTATGAGTGGACCAGACGATTGATAAAGTTATAAACGCCATTGGGAACCACACTCTCAAAAAATCCTGGCGCAATCCATCGGCTGTGTTTGGTCTCGGTACGACGTTATTAAGTCGAGATCTCCTCTGAATTTCATCCCAAAGATGTTCAATTATCGGGTTTAAGTCCGGACTTAGGGCTGGCCAGTGCATAACGTTGACACCGTTCTGATGTAGAAAGTCCCGAGTAACTCTGGCGGTGTGGGCACGGGCGCTGTCATGTTGTAAAACGTTGTTTCGATGACGTGCGAAATGTGGTATGACGTGGGGTCTGAGAGCTTGATCTATGTAGCACACTGCTGTGATGCCGCCTCCTCTCCCTGTACCAAGATTTTGGAACACCACAGGACCCATACTCTCTGGAAGTGATTGGCAACGGCTTGGGCTGTGTGGCCAAGTGTGAGTCGTGGCATGCTGCTGACGTTGTAGTGTGAATGATTCAACCAGGTATGGGGGTGCATTTTATAGGGCTGGTCCCGGTGAACAGCACGTGCAGCATGAGTTACATGAAAATCATGGAGAACATATTACCATCTTAGAAGTCAGGTTGCGTTTTTGAGAACATCTCCTGCGTTCAATTCTGTTTTTGGGAAGGAGCCTTATTGCTCCGGTAAAGTTAGAGATGTGGTCAAAAATATACATGTACAATAAAAACATTTGGCAAGTTTTATGCAATGCTTCTATTCGAAGTAACATACCAACCAGACGTTTCTATACTTATGTCTTAATTTACACACAATTTATTTTAGTAAACAAATTTTATTACATTACTTACACTAAATCGTGTGTCGTGCGTAGCGATGCTAAAGTGTATAAAGAGAATGTCCGAAAAATCCGTTAGCAGTAGCCTGTGGAGGGGGAGGGGGGTCAAATCTAGGGTGCCAACCACAATCCCACCCACAATGAATGTCAACAAATACTGGCAATAACAGCCTGAGCGTCCGGGTAGAACATAGATCGTATTGCTTATATACATGTAGTTGTTCGCCGATCGTTAATTTGAGTCAATGTCCTGGCCTTTGAGGCCATTAATTGTGCTGGGTGCAAATTCTTGTGAACAAGAGGATCAGAAATGGGAGTCAGTGGAACAGAATCTTGAGATCTGCCTGTCAATTCCGCTTGTTTTGTAAGAGTTAGCAGAAAATTTGTACAGTCTGTTTCCCCACACACTAGTGGTACTGCGAACTGAGCGGTTCACTATAACCGTGAATATGATAGTGATGCGATAGTATAAGATCTCCGAAAAGTGGAGGAACAATGCCGCTATAATCTTTTGGGACTGGGCTGGCAGTGGCATTTGCGTTCATTAATGGGAGCGAATTCTTGTGAACGAGAGGATAAGAAATGGGTCAGTATCTCGATGCCTGCATCATCTGCATGTTAATTCCGCCTGTCTCGTGAGAGTTGAAAGACTCCCCACGACCCACTCACTATCTAAGTACTACTAACTGATAAACTGTTTCAATGGCATTTAGTAATTGAACTAGAGTATACAGGTCACAATTCTATGGAATACAATTAGCATACATTAGCATTGTGGTGTACATGTATATATTGTCCTGTCATATTTTCATTTTTTATCATAGCTTGATAATGACTAGAGAAGCCTAGTCGAAACGTCGCTCAGTAAAAAGCAGTAATTGTATTCCATAGAATTGTGACCTGTATACTACTAACTGGATGATTCATTGTGAAAACGACATCGATGAGAAAGAATAAGGATTGGAAGAATGATGATACAATGAAATCGAGCGCGGTAGGCGCGAAACAATTTCAGACAGCTACGTATAATATTTATGTAAGTGAGTTTTTAAAAGTAAACAAAATAAAATGATGAATATTACCCACCGAATTCCGCATTTAGTTATGGGAATAATTTTAACATTTACGGATTGCGAATAAAACTGATGTGGATATACTACACAATCCAGAATTTGATGATCAGATGAAGAAAATAAATAACATGGGCCTGACAATGTTCGTCGTCCCAATCGTTTGACAACATTGTACAAAAAGTGAATAAAAGGTTAAAAGAAAGAATTTGTGTCCCTTTTGCATTGCAACAGATATCTGTTGTGGGGTCATCAGAGGGTGATATCTGATGATGTCACAACGGGTTGACACGTTTCATAACAACATGCATGGGAGATCAAAGGAAATAACATCCGAAGGTGTGTAACTATAGGTAATTATAGTGCATATGATTCAGTATTACAAGTAGCCTACTGTCCATAAATAGAGAGCCATGGTGGCTGGGTGAAAAAAGGCGCTGGGTACCTAACCAGGAGATCGGGTGTTTCTGTCTTTTTTGAGAGACGGCATCCAAACGAGAATCGAAATATACTATTCAAAAAAAGTAGGGGATATTTGATTTTGGGGGCATAATACTAAAATATGCAAATGACTACGAAAAAAGTCACTATAGAACCTAACAGAAGAAACATTTCCAGTTACATGTGACGCCAAAACGCACCAATAGCTACCGCATGGAATGCAGGTGATGCTTGGGATCATCATGGGAGTCCAACCCAAGATTTGCACGACTCTGACTTTGAATGTTACAGTCATTGTGGCATTGAATTCCAGGGTGGAAACATCAGTTTAATTGTTTTAGTGACCAGAAAACAAATTTTGATATGCGTCGGCTTACCCAAAATGAAAGGTTACGTGCCCTTGGCATGCTACAGATCGGCACAACACAGGCGGTTGTGGCGCGGACGATGAATGTTTCTCAGTCTGTCATAAGCAGGCTATGGTCCAGATACCGTGATACACAATCTGTACAGGACAGACCACGCTCAGGTCGACCAAGGGCGACAACTCAAGCCCAGGATCGATTTATCCGTACCTTGGCCTTGAGAAATCGTGTCATCACAGCAAATCAGATCAGCGCTCGTCTTCAAACAGACACTGGTGTGAGAGTGAGTGGCCAGACGATTCGGAATCGACTGCATAGGGGTCACCTTCGCGCCCGACGTCCTCGCGTGATCCCTTGTTTGAGAGATCATCACATTCAGGCAAGACGTCGTTGGTGTAGGGATCGTCAACACTGGGATAATCGACGCTGGAGCAATGTGATGTTTTCAGATGAGTCAAGGTTCACTGTTGATTTTTTGGACAGACGTGATCGATTTGGGGGTGGTTCTGTTATGGTGTGGGGAGGCATCACTGTTGCTGGGAGAACGGCTTTACATGTTGTTGCAGGGCGTGTTACAGGCCAGTACTACCGGGACAACATCTTGGCAGTCCATGTTGTGCCGTTCGCACGACGTCATGGCCGCCGTTTCATCTTCCAGGATGACAACGCAAGATGTCACAGGGCCAGGATCGTTACAAGTTACCTCCAACAACAGAACATCACCACATTACCTTGGCCAGCACTGAGTCCCGACCTCTCCCCCATCGAGCATGTCTGGGACATGCTTGGACAGAGGTTACGTCAACGTCAACAACGTAGTGCCAATGTCCAAGAACTTGCTGCTGCGTTGCAACAGGAATGGGACAATCTGGACCAAAATGACCTTAGACGTCTCATTAGGAGTATGCCACGTCGGATCAATGCTTGTTTGGCAAACAGAGGAGGATTTACCCGTTACTGACTTGGTTGTGATGCTGTGGTAACTTTGCTGTTTGACCCCGGGTATCATTTTACCCTTATAATGATCAGTCTGTGCCTTACTTAGTCTAACGATCATTTGGAATAAATCGATGAATGTGAACTTCATTTCATTTTGTCATTTGTTTCTTCCTCAGTTTCATTAGGTGACTTTAATAACACTTAAAAATCAAATATTCCCTACTTTTTTTGAATAGTATATGTAGTTTATAGTCAATTCGACGGTTCAGACGGTGCCTTACTGGCTTAAACCAGGATGTCCGGGGTTCGATTCTGGTGTTGGCCGAGGAAGTATCCCATTGTAAGGTTGTATAGGGAGGTCCCGTCATAAAGAGCGAGCAATGCACGCCTCGGATTATTACCCGCCAAGCGCTATGTTTACTGTCTATATATTATGAAACTCCTGTCCAGTCATGCAATAAATAGGTGTCACTGCCCTACATGAATAATATTAATACGGCAACCAAGCTTGAATGCCGCATAAAGCACAAACCGTACAACATTACCGTCAATATGGTTAGTATTCCAGAATTTTTTAGTACATCTTTGACGTCTGGTTTGATTGCTCTTGCGATTGTGCTAGTGATTGGATATGTCTTCCTATTTTGGGAAAGATCCGGGATTCCACCTGGGCCGCCATTCTGGCCCGTTGTTGGTAATATTTTTAATATGAGAGGAAAATATTTCGGAAGGAGACATGTATATTTAGAAGAAATGAAGGCAAAATATGGACCCGTTTTTCGTATTTACTTAGGAAACCAACTAACCGTATTTTTAAACGACCAAACATCGATCAAAGAAGCAATTGTTGATCAAAAGGATGTATTTATAGCCAGACCGACCGAAAAACTATGGGGATACAAAATGTCTGCCTTAGAGGGACCAGGGTTGGCGATGGCCAATGGTGAAGACTGGAAAGCCGCCAGGAGTTTAGTTGTACAGGCCTTTCACGAAATAGGTTCAACATCGTTTGAAGAAATAATCAGAGATGAAATAAAGGATATTATAGCGTTACTCTCAACAAGTAGTGGAGATGCGATAAGGATTAGGAACGCCTTGATCAAGGCCACAACAAGTGTTATTGGTCGTGTTTCGTTCGGATCTAGATTGGATTATAGTAAGGAAATAGATATGCACATTTTTAACACGGTCCGTGCTCTATTTAAAGGCGAGGGGTCTATGTCTCCTATACATACATTACCGTTTCTCAGATTTTTACCCGGTATTGAAGGAAAGCTGGAGGATCAAAACGAGGACGTTGCTGAAACAAGACAGGAATTCAGTCGATATATTGATGAACACAAAAAGAAACTCACTGAACACGCAAGCAGAGATTTGATTGACGTGTTCTTGAAAAAAACTAAAACTACCAAAAATTACCTCATTGATGAACAGAATTTAACCCGAATCATTCTCGATCTATTTGCCGCTGGTTCCATTGCTAATGGAAATGTTGTAGATTGGGCATTTCTTTACATGATACTACAACCAAACATACAAAAGAAATGCCAAGATGAAATCGATAGAGTGGTCGGATCAAAGAGAATGGTAAGATGGTCGGATAAACCAAATCTTCCATACTTAGAAGCAACATTGATGGAAGCATATCGATTAGGAAATAATGCCCCACTTTCTATCTTCCATATGAACACCAAAGATGCTTATGTCAAAGGTTACTTAATTCCAAAAGAGTCTATTGTAATTCCCAATGTCCTTTCATGTCATTTAGACCAAACGACCTGGAATGACCCATTGGCATTTAGACCAGAAAGATTCTTAGATGAAAGTGGTAAAATTAAGCCACATCCTGCATTTATGCCGTTTATGATTGGACCAAGGTTTTGTGTCGGTGAAACTTTGGGTCAGATGCAGATCTTTTTGATGTTCAGCAATATTCTCCAAATATTTGTTCTTTCTAAGGAGGTAGGTGCTAAGTTGACCACTGAGGGTACCTATGGAATTAATATGGAAACATCACCATATCTGATTCACGCCAAAAGGAGATAGATGTAAGATTCCCAATCATGCTTTTGATATGCCACGTGTTATTGGAACCATGTGAACGTTCTACAGTTAAAGTTTCTGTGATTATTTTAAAGATACAATTTCATATTTTTAAGTTATATTTTTAAGATTTATTAAAATAAAGCCTTAAAATAGATGGTATCCATAAACAGTCCTACCTTGTAAAATAATAATCCTATTAATCCTTTAATTCACTATTGCCAGCTGAGAAATTGGCAAAAATATCATTTTCAGCTTCAAATTCAAACGTTTGAACATAGCTATTCCATAGAGGTAATAGGAAAACAAGGGGGGTAATTGTGTTATTATTTCCTGTGTCAATGATTTTTAAGGGTGGGAAATAATGCCCATGATCGTATAATAGTGAGTTGATAACCTATTGAGCAAAAGACATATAATTATGTTTTGACTTTCTTAGAAAATATGAAATTCTCGCTTTAAGATCACCTTGTGATTGTTCAGCTCGTCATTAGGATAATTACTATATCGAGCATTTATTCAAATTATATGAGGTCAAAGGTCTTAGGCCAAGGTTTTTCATTTCCCCCAAGAGAAACAACTTGAAAATATCATTAGAAAATTTAGTTTTAATTTATATTAAGGATTTCCGTATTCTGTTGCTGTTGTACAAAATGAAGCCAAGTTCAATACGTTACATTTGTGAGTAAACGAATAGCAATGAAAAAAAAATTTTTTTAGGAACACGTGTACATGGATATTTCAGGACCTAGTGATTGTGACTTGTTAGTATTTTTAATATATACGTGCATTTTTAATTAGAGAGTTCACGAAAACTATGTTTGTATTTCAACTATTGTGTTTTTAACTATGCCTTTGATACTGGGGCAGCGATTATCTTCTATCCAAGTCCGAATGATTGTTCTTGTTTTGCTTGTAAACCTTCAACTGTTTAAAATTACATCAGTTACATTTTAACACTGTCTCTTTCTGTAGATTAGACATATATTTAATTAAATCGACCATTTGGATTTTTACAAAGCAAAGAGGTCTATAGTAATTTTAGTTAATTAATTAAAAACTCAAATTGGAGATGTATTTTCCTATCATCAAACCGAAATGTTAGACGCACTCGGACTTGAAACGAAGTTTACCGATAAAAGTAAGGGTAGTATATGCTATAGTTATTTGTTGAACAATAGATAAAACATTATTTCCCGATGTTCAAGGCACCATGTGTAAAATGGATCATTTAAACATACATTATGCAAGAGCTAAATCTGATTATTGCAAGTCTTTATTTAGGCTTCAGATGTCATAGAAATTATAAATTAGATCTTTATTTACACAACAAGCACAAAATCAACTCTGTGGACCCACGGATGGCTTGGATTCAGCTTGGATTTAAACGGGATTTCGTTGACTGATTTAATTTTTATATGGCGTCGTGAGCGGAGATTAACCGTTACGTTGACGTCATACTCCCGGATGGAGGCTAAATGCTAGAGTGTACGAAGCGAGGCCGCTGTTGAGCGATGCCTTAACAAATGACATCTAAACTATTTAAAGTGCAATACAAACTAAACACAGATAATGACAAATTATACAATTCCTGGTGACCGTGTGATGACTAATACAGACAGACAGGTCTTCTGTCTTAGCCTAATAATATCAATAAAAATATTTTTATTTCCCCAATAGGCACGACGCCACTGGTGTATACCTATAGATTTATCATAGGTCTAGGTCTGCCCCGAGTCTGAAATTTGGGGTATAGGGGTAGCTCGGACCGGGGAGTAGCATATAAAAGGTGGCGTTAGTCTACCACTTCCGGTTTCGGAGTTATGACCCTGAGCGAAGCCGGTCTGTTCGGGGTTGGCGGCTACACTAGGTCTGCCCCGAGTCTGAAATTTGGGGTATAGGGGTAGCTCGGACCGGGGAGTAACATAGGCCAGGTGGCGTTAGTCTACCACTTCCGGTTTCGGAATTATGAGTTTTTTTAACAAAAATTATAAAGCGTTTAGCCATGCGACTTAACGTCCGACACCAGGAACGGTGGCCCTTTAGTGTGTCATACGTTGATTTATACATTTTTCTTGAAATTTACCTCATATGAGAAATCGCAGTGAAACCTATAATAAATCAAAAAACCATGAAAAACCTTAATCCTTTTTCTCCGCGGTGGAACCTTTACGCGGTGTAAACCTTTTCTCCGCGGAGAAAATGTCTTTCATGGTTTTTTGATTTATCATAGTTTTCACTGCGATTTCTCATGTGTGATATATTACAAGAAAAGTGTATAAATCAACGTATGACACTAAAAGGCCACCGTAGCCAGGACTATGCTGTCTGTTGTGTTAAAACACAAAACTACAGCTTATGAACTTATTCATGTCAACAGTTGGTGTTGTTTAACTAAGAGTTATAATATATGAACTTTGGAAAAATGGAACGCTTATGAGGAATTTTCTGACTATTTCGGACCCGGACCCAATGGACCCACACCCGTATCTCACTTGTATTCCAATATTGAATAAAGGCGACCCTTCTAAATTCGGCAATTATGTACAGACCACTTTCCTTCTCGAGTCCCGATAAAATGTTTGAACAAATGTATTCAAAAACATTTATTTAACTTCTTTATGAATAATCCAATTATAACTAACCTACGCGGTGGCTTTTTGCACTGTAACTGAACTGCTTTAATTAGCAACTAATGGACAATATGGATTTCTTTTTTCAAGCCACTGACCCGAAGAGTTTCTATGTCACTAGATTGGGCGGCCGGAATCCGAGCAGACTTGCTTCAGTGGTTCAAATGGCCCTCTTCTTTTCTTATATATTATATAAATCCAATATTAGATTACGTATCTTAAAATTCACGACTAAACCACATACGCGATTATCCGAAATAGTTTTAAACAAATTACCATTGTTCCTTATAATTTAGATTGCGGTTAGTTTGGTCCACGAATGTATGTGTATGTGATCAGATTGGGGGGCTAACTTTATGGTGAGACGCACGAGGGTTGCGTGCAATCAAATCATCGCAACTAACTTGCTTCACGTCATGACCTTGCACGATGAGTAATATATGACCAGATACCGCCTTACAAAACAGGTCCCGACTTCATTAGCCCAGGTTAGGAGCAGAACAGTAGGACGTTAAACTCCATTTCATTTCATTTCACAAAACAGGTCTTAAGCCTAGCTCACAACCCGCCGCACGTGCTACTATGGGCAGTATACGAGAGCATTTTTAGTAAACCCATGCGTGACACTTAAGCTGCATTTCCTTTAGTACGGATTCCATCTGGCTCCGGTCCGGTTGCGGATACGGAAATAAACACTTTCATAGAATTTTAGTAAGAGTGTTTCCTTATGTGCAGGTGCGGATACGGTTCTGTATGCGGCGTCCGGTGCGGATTTTCGAAACGGACCATGTAGCGTTCGGTACGGAAACGCATGCGGAACCGTGTCCGTAAACGCACATAAGGAAACACAGTTTGGGTAGCCCGCACGGGAAAAAATCATGAAGGTTTACACCGCGTAAAGGTTCCACCGCGGAGAAAAAGGATTAAGGTTTTTCATGGTTTTTTGATTTATCATAGTTTTCACTGCGATTTCTCATGTGTGATATATTACAAGAAAAGGGTATAAATCAACGTATAACACTAAAAGGCCACCGTAGCCAGGACTATGCTGTCTGTTGTGTTAAAACACAAAACTACAGCTTATGAACTTATTCATGTCAACAGTTGGTGTTGTTTAACTAAGAGTTATAATATATGAACTTTGGAAAAATGGAACGCTTATGAGGAATTTTCTGACTATTTCGGACCCGGACCCAATGGACCCACACCCGTATCTCACTTGTATTCCAATATTGAATAAAGGCGACCCTTCTAAATTCGGCAATTATGTACAGACCACTTTCCTTCTCGAGTCCCGATAAAATGTTTGAACAAATGTATTCAAAAACATTTATTTAACTTCTTTATGAATAATCCAATTATAACTAACCTACGCGGTGGCTTTTTGCACTGTAACTGAACTGCTTTAATTAGCAACTAATGGACAATATGGATTTCTTTTTTCAAGCCACTGACCCGAAGAGTTTCTGTGTCACTAGATTGGGCGGCCGGAATCCGAGCAGACTTGCTTCAGTGGTTCAAATGGCCCTCTTCTTTTCTTATATATTATATAAATCCAATATTAGATTACGTATCTTAAAATTCACGACTAAACCACATACGCGATTATCTGAAATAGTTTTAAACAAATGTTCCATTGTTCCTTATAATTTAGATTGCGGTTAGTTTGGTCCACGAATGCATGTATATGTGATCAGATTGGGGGGCTAACTTTATGGTGAGACGCACGAGGGTTGCGTGCAATCAAATCATCGCAACTAACTTGCTTCACGTCATGACCTTGCACGATGAGTAATATATGACCAGATACCGCCTTACAAAACAGGTCCCGACTTCATTAGCCCAGGTTAGGAGCAGAACAGTAGGACGTTAAACTCCATTTCATTTCATTTCACAAAACAGGTCTTAAGCCTAGCTCACAACCCGCCGCACGTGCTACTATGGGCAGTATACGAGAGCATTTTTAGTAAACCCATGCGTGACACTTAAGCTGCATTTCCTTTAGTACGGATTCCATCTGGCTCCGGTCCGGTTGCGGATACGGAAATAAACACTTTCATAGAATTTTAGTAAGAGTGTTTCCTTATGTGCAGGTGCGGATACGGTTCTGTATGCGGCGTCCGGTGCGGATTTTCGAAACGGACCATGTAGCGTTCGGTACGGAAACGCATGCGGAACCGTGTCCGTAAACGCACATAAGGAAACACAGTTTGGGTAGCCCGCACGGGAAAAAGCTAAAAATAGGTTTTTTTCTTCTTTTACGAACCTTGACAATGCCGGTGCCATGTTGAAAAGATGGCCCTTCCGCTTGAATAACCAGAAGTCTCAATCGAATGGCAATCTCTAGCGTCTGGTTATTCCAGTCTACACCGATAGTATTTATTGCGCATGCTTTCCAGATAAGAATATGTCGTCGACGTTTGACATGACTCGTGGAATATGTCTAGCCTCGTTCTTCGAGTCCCTTGTTACAAATGGCCCTGAAACCCATTATGGTACACGATTCGTGTACCAATGGTAAAATGTTTCTTTTGTTTTAAATATTGGATATCAGATTTCCATCTTTTCCGGTAAGATCAAACATCAGTGTTGATTTAAAGGGACAATAACACTCTTGCTGGCTTGACAGCTCCAGTAAATAAATATTAGCCTTATTCTAAGTATTAGATGTTTAAGTGTCCTACCTGTTGTGTAAATTATCCATTACATATGGAAGCCTATAACTACCATTCATAATTTCTACTTTTCGCCTCTTCAGAACACGAAAAGTAGAAGTTACGACAAAATGTGAGGCGACAAGACGGTATACAAGCCAAAATCAACTCGAAAATAGGAAATTAAAAAATAACACACCGCGATAATAGCGCCCCCCGTTTTTTCTTAATTTCTACTTTTCCACTTGCATTTTGGCTTGCATACCGTCTTGTCGACTTTTGACTTAGTCATTTTCGACAGTACGACAGATCATAAGTCGCTAATAGCGCAGTGTGTTAATTTCCTAATTTCTACTTTTCGAGTTGCATTTTGGCTTGTATAGCGTGTTGGCGCCTTCTTACTGACATCAATAAATACAAAAATATGACTAAGTCGAAAGTCGACAAGACGGTATACAAGCCAAAATGCAAGTCGAAAAGTAGAAATTAAGAAAACACGGGGGGGCGCTATTATCGCAGTGTTTTATTTCTTAATTTCCTATTTTCGAGTTGATTTTGGCTTGTATACCGTCTTGTCGCCTCACATTTTGTCGTAACTTCTACTTTTCGACTTTTCGACTTTCTTGTTCTGAA